TATATATATATATATATATATATATATATATATATATATATATATATATATATGTATTCCTATAAAAACTTTGGATGCTCATTGTGGCTCTACCATAGATGATTCCTATTACTGAAACAAGTCTGGCCCTGCCGTTCTCTAACAGCAGACTTTCCTTCATTTGAATCTTTGATGCTTCCATAAAGGGGTATAAAATGATATGTAATTTTGCATGTCAGTACTGATTCTGATAGAAGCCCTTTTTTGAATATTGTTTTTGCTTGTTTGTTGTTTAAGGTTTCTCTCGAGAATTTTTCACTCGTATGGAGACGCCACCACTTGCCGGTGGAGGCCGGCAAATTTATACCTATACTCGGCATTTAGGGCCATTGAGCATTGAGGGATCTTTTTTTGTGCCAACACTTACTGCGACAGTTTATACGGTCTCATCCGAAGGACCGGTCTCCACATCTTGCAGTGGATTCGAACACTCGACGTAAGGATCAGTCCCTTACTCCGCAACTCTAGAGCAGACGCTCTAACTACTGCACCACGCGGGCAACTTTTGAATATTGAAATTCAAAATCCTATTACAAGAATAAAAAAAATTTTCCAATGATTCTCAATTACATAGCTAAAACCAAGACAAGAATTTCATACTTTTCTGCCAGTGACCTTGAAAGAATGACCTTGGTCAAGGTCATGATATACAGTAAGACTCGTTTAGTGCGAACACGGATATTGCGAATTCACGGTTATAACGAAGTTTTCTTAGATCCCCAGCTATATAAATTTAACGAATTCCTTATATGGATATAACGAATTACGGATACAGCGAAGTAATTTCACAGGACCCAGTGACTTCGTTATAATCGAGTTTTCTGTACCTGTTGGTCATAAGCAATCCCTGTACCATTTATGAGCTTCCAGTGATTTTCCATGTAGTCAGACAAAGAATTTTATACATTTTCTACCAGTGACCTTGAACTTGCCAGAATGACTCTGGGTCAAGATCAAGACTCACCTTGGGGTTACATGCAAAATCTGCACCAAGAATGAGTTTCCAGCAATTCTCCATTAAAAGTTATTGCCTAAACAAGAATTTAATACTTTTCTCTACCATGGACCTTGAACTTAAAGGAATAATCTTGGGTCAAGATTAGACAAATCAGAGGCAAACTCGTTAACAAGTATGTGGTTCCAGTGGTTCTCCATTACAAAGTTATAGACAGGATAATATTGTTATACTTTTTTCAGCCAGTGATCTTGAATTTGCCCAAATGACCTTGGGTGAATATTATGACACACCCTCGGGTCATAGGCAATTCTATTTCAATAAAAATTCCTTGAAGTATCCTTGGATACAGGAGATTAAAGTTTGTTCAAAGGAAGGGTCAAACCCTCTTTAAGAAGAGATAAAAATGACTGAAAATTTAAAAAATTTCTCCTCAAGAATCACTGAGTCAGAAAAGTTTAAACTTATATGTGAATGCTTCATTACATAGTGTAGATTCATTTTGTCCAAATCATGACCCCCAGGAATAGGGTGGGGCCACAAGAGGCGATCAAAGTTTTACATAGGAACATATGGGGAAACCTTATAGCACATCTACAGAACACTACCAATTATCTTCCTAAAGATGATTAGGCTACTATGTAAAATGTAAGAGGAGTTCTGGGAACCAGGGGCTTTTTGTATAAAAAAACGTCATTTTTTTACCCCCAGGGTGAAAATGAAAATTCCGAAACCTTATTGCACATCTATAGGACACCACCAATCATCCTCCAAAAGATAATTAGGCTACTGCGTTAAATGTAAGAGGAGTTCTGGGAACTAGGGGTTTTTCGTATAAAAAGTTATTTTTCGAGCCTCATTTGACCCCCAGGCTGAAATGAAAATTCCTTATTGCACATCAATTGAAGACCACCAATCATCTTCCAAAAATGATGAGGCTACGGTGTAAAATGTAGAGGGAGTTCTTGGAACCAGGTTTTTGGAGGAAAAAAGTCATTTTTGGCCCCCATTTTGCCCTTTGGACAAAATTTGAAAATTCCAAAAACCCCATTGCATATCTACAGGACACCAACTAACATTATATTCTACGTGCACGTAGATTACAGAAGATTATTTACAAGCAAATAGGATATGAACAAACAGCGTATATAAAAGGCCGATTTATAGGATTGAATGCCCGCTTTATACTAGATTTTTTTGATTATTGTGAAAGCTATAACAAAGAAGGAATTTTATTATTTTTAGACTTTGAAAAAGCCTTCGACTCAGTCGAATGGAATTTTTTATTCAAAACTTTAGAAAAATTTAATTTCGGTCCGAATTTCTTAAAGTGGATAAAAACCCTGTATTACAGCCCTATCTTTAGATTAAAGAATAATGGATGGATTTCAAAAACATGTAAAATGAAAAGAGGAATCAGACAAGGCTGTCCAATATCAGCCATTTTGTATCTTTTTGTTGCGGAAATTTTGTCTATTAAGATTAAAGAGAATGAAAGTATAGAAGGTTTTCAAGCTGATTACATGGAAAAAGAAGTAAAAAATTTACAGCATGCTGACGATATGACACTGACATTAAAAAATATTGAATCTCTGAAACAAGCTTTGGAAACTATAAACAATTTCTGCATCCATGCAGGTTCTAAAATAAACATTAACAAAACTGAATGCATTCTTCTTGGTCCTCTAAAAAATCTTTTTAGAGAAATAGAGGGCATTACAGTAACAAACGAGGCAGTAAAGTGTCTAGGTATTTATATAGGTCACGATAAAATTGAATGTTATAATAAGAACTGGATGAAAGTCTATCATGAAATAGAGACTCTATTTGAATCTTGGAAGAGAAGAAAATTAACAATATTTGGGAAATGTACTATAATAAACTCTCTAGCACTAGCAAAACTCATTTACATAGCAAGTGTTTTGGAAACACCCAATGGAAGTTATATTAAAAACATTAATAGACTAATATTCAATTTTATATGGAATAAAATTGATCGGATCAAAAGGAACACAATGGTTGGCCATGTTAAGGATGGTGGTTTAGGGATAACTGATATTGAATCTAAGTTTAGAGCACTAAAAGCCACATGGGTTCGTAGATTGAAAGAAACAGGTCACTGCATAAAGAATTACGTAAATAGTTACTGTATTCCAATAAATATAGATATCGATTATGTGATAAATACAACGGAAAATAATATAGAAAATTACGAAATAATACAAAATATGCCTTTATTCTATAAACAAGTATTCACCTGCTTCAACGCATGTAAACATATACAAGACAACCTCAATATTGAAAATTTTCTTAAACAACCGATATGGTCAAATCTAAGATATTCATATAAAGGAAAAACAATTTTCTTTAAGAATTGGCTTAAGAGCAGTATATTGTTTGTCAAAGACATATTTTCCGAAAATGGGACTTTAAAACCACCAGATGAAATGGCAGGGATATTAATCAATAAGAGTAATTGGTTATGTGAATATAAAATAATAAAATCAATTTTCAAGAAATATGAAGAAAAATATGATTTCAATGTGTGTCAACATTATAAGGAAATGTCATTAAATACCCCATGCTTTAATAAATATTCAACAAAATTCTTTTATAATGAATTTTTAAAGAGCAAATTTCAAGTTCCAGTTGTGCAAGCAAAATATAATAAAGAGTTTAATATACATAAAAGCGACTGGGAAAAAATCTATATAAATAAGATAGAGTTAATGAAAGATAAACAAATCGCGGAATTTAACTATAAGCTAATAAATAATATACTATCAAATAATTATTTTGTAAGCAAGATAAACAAAAACTCTAATTACATATGTAAAATATGTAGCGAAGTTGTAGAAAATTCAAAGCACCTAATTTTTGAGTGTGCAAATGTGCAGCTTTTATGGAATAGAGTGAGCGATTTTCTAGGTTTTGATGTAAAATGGAAACACATAATTTTTGGTTTTTACAATGTTAGAAATGAAACCACTGTCATATATAATTTACTGTTGTCTTTTGTGGCTTTTAAGATATATAAATATAAAATGTATTGTCGATTAGAAAATGTTGATGAAACAGCTGAAAGAATATTACTTAATTTAAAATCTTGTATTTTAAAGTATTCTGAAATTTTACATGCTGTGGGAAATACAAATTATTCCATATTTTTCAAAAAATTATTAAGAAAAATGTAGATGTTTTTGTCTTTGAGGGGGACCAGGCCCTCGGGACGTACACAAGAAGGAAGGTAAAATTAGAGACTCTGAGATGGTGATAGATTTACCTCCCTTCTATATATCGTAAATATATATTGTTTACATATGTAATGTAAAATACCGATGATTTTCCTGACAGCTATACAGTATTTGTTCGTTTAAAATTGTATAATTATATTTATTATTTTGTTTGCATATATTATCTAAGCATTCTACGAAATGCTAATTTCAAATCAAGAAAATTCAACATGTACATGTAATTACAATGTTATACTTGTAATGGAGCTTAGTCAGGGCCCCATCCCTGGCAGCTGCCAACTTATTAGTATATATATATATATATATATATATCAAAAATTGTTAATAAGTAGGATCTGGGAAATAAATTTGGAAAAAAAAAAAAAAAAAAAAAAAAACTAACATTATATTCCAAAAAATTAATTGGGTACTGCTTAAAATAAACGACGAGTTTGAGGAAGAATAAAGTGTGACAAACGGACTTACAGACGGATCAGGGTAACAACAGTATACCCGGGCTTTCTTTAGAAAGTGTGGGTATAATTACTTCCAATTATTATGAAAAATGTAATTACTTGTAATTACACTCGATAATCATTACAATTACTTTATTTCAAATACCCCATTCCTGATTTATATGTAGTCTATAGAGAGGTTGTTACTGTTGTTAACTCATTTAAAGACTATGTTAATTTTAAATTGTTTGATAACCAAGACGGAACCAATGAATAAAAATTAGAAGTTTGTCTGTAACGATTTGGTTTATACAACGATCCAAGTCCAACGTTACGTCATATTTGTATTGTGTAAGGCCTTATGTATACACTATCATTTTGAGCTTTTGTAAACTGCACAAAATTTCAATTCTTTGATATTACATTCTCTCTATTTTAAAAGTCATTCTTTTTTTTATTAAAAACTATAATATGCAAATGGATAATATTACTGTAAAATAAAAATACTACTGTATTTAGAGATAATATCTTAAACTGATTTCAAGATGTCATTTTCTTGGTTTGATTAACAATGACACTTCATTCTTCGGAGCTGTAAATATTCGATCAACGAATTCCATTGTTTGATTTGTCTCCTGGGACAGAACAGCTTCAAAGCAGCGGAAAAACTGTAAGTAGAAAGAAATTTGTTACAAAAAACAAAAACATCATTTTATGTACAATGATACACCCCCCCCACCCCCCAATTTTCATTACAGTAATTAAATGTATTTATATTAATATTCTGACTCAGGAAATATTACCTGCTCTCTAAGTATTGATTTAAACAATATGAAACTTAACACGTCTTCTTATATTTATCTTAATTAATGTTTCATTACATTTTTTAATTTTTACGTATCGTAATGAAACTTTATAGGCTTTTGATGGATGAAAATCGTAAATGAAGAAAGCTGAAGAAAGTTTTTCTTTATTTTTTTAAACTTGCCTTTGCCGTTATAACAAGCATTTCTGTTTCTGCAAACCGTTGTCCGACACAACTCCTTAAACCAAATCCAAAAGGGAGTGTAGCATATGGATGAGTATTTTTGTATTCGTCACTTAAGCTTCCATCACCACGAACAAATCGCTCTGGAAGGAAAACCTCCGGACTTTTGAAAAATCGAGGATCTTTACCCATTATTTTCGAACAAACAAGGACATTAGTCCGAAAGAGTGTTGACAAATTAAATCGACAAGTTTTGGTAACCGGTTACTCGCCTGTCTTTCCGATCGCGAGTTTTCGAGTACTCGATTATTATTCAAGAAAAAAAGATCAAAATTTAAACATATGTATCTTCACTTTCGTATATTGTTCATTGCCACTGAACATAATTTCATGATCTAAATGCCGACGTAAATTAAGTATGGAGAAAAAAAAATAATAAAAGCCAAATAAATTTTAATAAATATGAAGATATAAATCATGATTAACATTCAATTTTGTCGTAAGGGAAGTTTGGAATGATTATCAGTATCAAATGACCCAAATATATTTCATGAATTTCAATCTTCAATAATGTTCTCGATCATTCACAACTGCGTATAATCCAAATAGATCTAGCATCTCAACTATGTTGCTCGTGTTATATCATCAGATTGTGCATGTCAAATTTTTGCTGTTTTTTTTTTCGGTGTTATTTTGATATCACTATGCTTGGTACGTAAATGATTTAACATATTGTTTGTCCCTCTCATGGAAGTAAATTCAGCTTTAAATAATTAACATTTTAAAGATTCGTTTAAAACATTTCCAGATTTATATTATTGGAAGAAGGAAGCATTTTTCCTTCTAAGTAACATATAGTAATATAAGATATCCATGCTATTTTTTATTGAACTAATTTGAAGTGTAAATTCCATTAATGGTGTGTAGCTGGCCATAAACCGCTACATGACCAAGGTGCTAATGACTAAAATTGTTGTCAAAACATGACGAGAGTCTAAAATCCAAGCTTTGTAATTGAGATAACGGTACGATAAACTCTTAAAGTAGAATGTGCTTGACAAAGTATGATGAAAATAAGAAATATCTCATGGTTTTATTTTTCCAAGTACTCGAATATCGATTTTGATAAGCGATACTCGGACCTTTCGACGAGTAATCGAGTAACCGGTTACCCGTTGACAACCCTCTGAAATAAAAATAAAAATATCAATAATACGATATTGAGGGGTAGATGTGACCCCTTAGTAGCATTAATCTTGCCATCATAGTTTGAACATCTGTCCATGTTCTCTAACAGAAGATTTACAGAGACATTGCCGCTGTCATATTTATCACTAGCTATACATAGAGGATATTTACCTAATTATATAGTGTCTTTTAGTAGTTTAATATAAAAACTAATACAAAACAAGATGTGTTTGTGAAACACCGATGCCCCCTTATGGCAACTTATAGCAAAGGTTAAACTTTCTCACATGCAAATCAAATATATTGATACCAAAAGTAAGGTCTTGTCTCGAGGAATAAACCTGTGAAATATGAAAGCCCTAGCAGCAACCATTGAATAGATATGAAAAAAGTTTTTTTTCAGAGTATGTCAAAAACATCAAAGTCAAGGTCAAATGGTCAAAATTATTGGTGCCCAAGGAAAGATCTTCTCCCAAGAAACACACAGGTGAAATATGAAAGCCAAAGCGCCAATAAAGTTATGACCAAGGTTAAAGTTTTCCAAAAGTAGGTCAAACTCCAAGGTCAAGGTCAAAACGTCAAATTCGTTGGTATCCAAAGGAAGGTCTTGTCAGAAGGATTACACATGTGAAGTATGAAAGCCCCAGCACCAATTGTTTAAAAGTTGTAGTCAAGGTTAAAGGTTGATAAAATGTTGCAAAACTGGGTCAAACTCCAAGGTCAAGGTAAAAGTAGTTGGTATCTAAAGAAAGGTCTTCTCACAAGGATTACATATGTAAAGTATGAAAGTCCTAGCACCAACCGTTCAAAAGTTATGGCCAAGATTAAAGTTTTCCAAAAGTAGGTCAAACTCCAAGGTCAAGGTCAAAATGTCAAAGCTGTTGGTATCCAAAGGAAGGTCTTGTCACAAGAATTACACATGTGAAGTATGAAAGCCCTAGCACCATATGTTAAAAAGTTATGACCAAGGTTAAAGTTTTCCAAAAGTGGGTCAAACTCCAAGGTCAAGGTCAGAGGGTCAAAGTTGTTGGTATCCAAAGAAAGGTTTTCTCACATGGATTACACATGTGAAGAATAAGCCCTAGCACCAACCGTTCAAAAGTTATGGCCAAGGTTAAAGTTTTTCAAAAGTAGGTCAAACTCCAAGGTCAAAGTCAATACGTCAAATTTGTTGGTATCCAAAGGAAGGTTTCGTCACAAGAATTATACATGTGAAGTATGAAAGCCCAAGCACCAATTGTTCAAAAGTTGTGGCCAAGGTTAAAGTTTGGTAAAATTTTGCAAAACTGGGTCAAACTCCAAGGTCAAGGTTATGTTAGCTACAAAAATAATATCTCAATAGTGTGTTTTTTTTTATAAACTTCAAATTTCATATTCTGTACATACTGCATTACATGTTTAGTGCACAAACTAAATGACTAATCAGTCTGATGGCCAATAGTTCATAGGACCAAAAAATTTACAGGTTACTGGGGCATGCTGATAATCTTAAACAAAGTTTTTCTGACACTGATAAATTTTTAAAGGTGATAAAATTCAAAGAACATGGGCGAATAAGGGTTGGAAATACACAGCTTCCTGTATATAAAAAGCACATTCACACTGTGAACTTTAGTATATGGGACAAGGTAATTATTAATATTAGGCAAGAAATTATGACAAAAATGAAATGTGAAGATAACGAACAGTGATCATTCTCAAAATTCCATTCAGACAATATAGACTATGAGCACAGCCAACATGAGCACAGCCAACACGGAGCTTGGAAAACAGAAGTGGGATCAGGTGCCATGAAGAAGTAAGCATCCCCTGCTGAGTGGTTACACTCGCCGTATGCTTATTGTCATGATTGAGTGTAAGAAAAAAATCTGTAGTCAATACAGTGTGAAAATAATGATCTAACTATTTGTATGAATGACGTCAGTCTACATCCGACAGATTATATATGTATTTGCAAACAAGTTCACTGTATCGACAGTCAAAGTTCACTGAAATGTTGACTTTAAATGAGATTGTTGGTGTCCTTGTATTATCAACTTATTTTTCAATAGCCTGCCTCGTTTTAGAAATTGTTCGTACCTAGAACATGCTCTTGGTTATCGAATCAATCGGGAGATATAAACTCCTTATGCAGGTGATTATGGTATATTGTAAAGGATGTAAAAGATTACGTTTATCAAAGTCTCATTTTTGCCATCATTGTCATTTTCTAGTAAAACATCCAAAGCTAAACATGTGTCAGACTCTATGGCGTCTTTTATTTTGAGTTCGAAGGAATATTTCGAATCAACGTAGGAATGAAACTGAATGTTATTAATTCATGAAACGTCGTCGATATATCTAAATGTCGAATTGAAGGACACAGCAAGAGAATTCTTCTTTTCATGAAGTTTTGAATAAATTCTCCTTTATATGAATACAGAAACAGGTCTGCTAATAATGGGGCACAGTTAGTACCCATGGAAATTCCAACAGACTGAAAGACCTGTTCTCGGAAAACCCATATATAAACAATGAGAAATTCAGATATCTTTTTAATTTTAACCTCGGAGTACTTGTGTGTAGCATCAGAATGTTTCTTAACAAAATAAGTTTACAGATGACCAATGACAAGGTATACAAATTTACGAGTTCAATTTTTTTTTATTGAGGAATCAGTTGTCTATGATGTCAAAGAGTCTAGTCTTTAATTTATCGTGGAGAATGGTTGTATAAAGTGTAGAGAGGTCGTACCTGTTGATGCAATTGATTTTGGTAAAAAAAATTTGATTTCAAATTTTCTTAAGTTCCTTCCGAGTTTTTAAGAATCCACATCTGATTAACACCACTTCTCACACATTTGCTGTACAGTACTCCTGAAGTTTCTAATTCACGACTGTTAATATTTACGTGAGGAGTAAAGAAAGAGACTTAGTAGAACATTTACTAGAACCCGCCTTGTATCTTTGTTTGTAAGGATTTTATGAAGTTTACGAATTCAGTAAAGGTATGGGTATTTCAAATTCAGTTTGATTGGAAGTATTAAGAAAAATTAAAACTGATCTATGATTTTGAAAAATTTCCTCCCTAGAAAGGGAACTATGAGTTAAAGTTGGATTACTACTTCTAGAATTAAATCCAAGTTCCTCTAAAATAATGAGCTTTACAAAGAAAGACTATGTTGTAACCTGCTTTGTCAGTTAGGACCGGTACATATTGATCGTAGAATCGATATTTTTCACTTTGGAATATTGAAGACAAGCAATCTTTTTCTGTGGAAAATTCCCTTAGCAAAACTTATCCAATGGTAAAAAAATTGCAGTTTCCGTTGGATTTGAAAACAAACCATAAACATTCTGATTTTTTTTCATTGAGACTGAGAAATTTACAACTACATTACACAACTCATGACAGGTAATGATATTTAAAGTTAGTTTGTGACATGACCCTTGAATAGCTGGATCTCAAATATTTCTCATAATGATAAAAATTTTGTGTCATAAAAATCTATTTTAAGTAATAGTGGGTCCTTACTCCACGTTTTTGTTAACCAAACATTCTATATTTCTAATTACACTGAAGAAATACTTTCAAAAATATGAAGAGAAGACCTCATATGGAAAATTTGTGTTCATTTTGCCCTCTTTGGTGTGTACATGCTATTTTATAGCTGAATAATTTCAACACTTTTGAAATGCAGCAAATAGTGGAGATTTTATATGAAATGTAATTAATGTTAACTGAAGTATCAAAGAAAATTTTGTTATGATTGAAATTTGATTTTTCACGTTTTTATAACTATGGGCATATTCCTCTTGTGTAAAAAATCAACAATTTTGAAGGATTAAAAAAAATTGAGTACTTTACCCCTGGTGGAATGCGGTATCCTCCAATTACAGCTTCATTTTTCAAATAGCGAAAGTGCAAGTTTGTGGGCCTGTACAACCTTGAAAAAGAAATAATAGCTACCAAAAATAAAATTAATTACAAATATCAAAGGTAAATATTTTTTTCACAATTAAATTGGCTTTCCCTACAAATTATAATTGCGCATACATTTCAGTAATAGCTAGGCTTAACCTCAAAGTAATCGCTTTAGAAAATATTGTGTATAAGTACCAGGGAAGAAAATACGATTTTAACTGCTTTAGAAATATCAAGGAAAAAATATTTTTAAAAACTTATAAAATATCATCTTTTGAAAAAGTGCAAATGCTTTATTTTTGGATCAGTTTATCTGTGGCAGTTTTCATAAACAAGGGAAAAATTGGGTGAATATAGGTCAATGCAACATTTAAGGATTGCTTAGAAATATTTGAGATAGTGGGCCAACTAAAAAAGAAACCTAGTTTCTGACAGTACAGAAAAAATGAGATAATTACGGATACAAAATTTGTCATTTAAGAAGGCCTGTGAACCTTTATAGTCACCGAAGTACTTTATCTAAAGGGTATCTTCTGTTTTTTTCTATACTTTGTTTATCAGGCTGTGTTCCTCTGACGTCATGCTTTGAACTAACTCACAACTACAGAATGACGATGCATGCATATTTGACAAATTGTAGTCTTCCTGCTCTTGAGAAGGTTAATAAAGATCGTCTTCCAAAAGTGGGCCCCAAATGAGGCCTGATTTGAACAAAATATCTTGAGTACATAGGGAGGATCTATTTGCCAATTTATCCACTTTTACTCTTTGAGAAGACACATTTTAAAGAGATTTCCAAGGTTTCTATTTATTACCATTTAGGTCTGCTGCAACACGGTATGGACAAACTTGACTGTGACCACAGACTTAAGCATCTGAGAGCCAAATCATTTTAACTTTTTGGAAACAAAACTCTTTCACTTAATCTATGGTGCATGGACAATTCTCCGGCATACCATATCAGCAATAATTCATGCTGATAAAAAAAAATAACCCGATATTTACTACAGCTTGATATCAAATAATAACAAAATGTATACCTCATTATTTCTCGGACACATGCTTTTAGGTACGACATTCTTGTCAAAGCTTCCTTTGTGACATCAGAATCTCCACAAACAGATATAATTTCCTCATAAAGTCTCTCCTGCTTTTCAGGATTTTTTGCCAGTTCAAACCACAGAAATGTTAAAGTATTTGCAGTCTATAATGAAAGGTTTGATATTTACAAAGCAAATGTGCAACAAAAGTAATACGAATATAAAACAGAAAAACTAATTCATTATGTAATCGTGTTTTCAGAGAATATCGGTATGACTTTATCAAAGGAGGCTGAATCATGCATTTTATCCATCTCATGAGTAGTATTGTCGAACATGTGATAAGTCATCTAATGAGGGAATCTTTTTTTTAATAGATTACAATTGAATGGGGGTCTCGAGACAATTAGGTGTGCATCGCATCTTTCTTGCAATTGAAAATGTAATAAACTACGTCTATGTAAGCCTATGATATATGCGAATATGCATATTCACAAATAATGATAACGAGTAACTGGCTGGGAATGAAGGCACTAAAAGTAGACTTTTGTAAAGACGTTGAATACATTCAAGTCTGAAAGGTTGTCGCTTACCATTGCTTGTAAATTAAAAAAAAAAGAAAACCATACGTATACTTTTTTCCAGGTCTCAATATTGACGGTTCAAACTAGATTTGACTATAATCCCTTTTGTAGGTGGTTTCTTAGCCTCTCTTTCCCGATATTGGTCATGCAAAGTTTCGAGAGCAAGGTTTTTGTATGGTGCTGTTCAAAAGTTAGCAAAAAGAAATAATCAGCCCTTCAGTATTTCACTCTATTTGTTACCGACTCTACTCCAGCCACAAAAAGATCCATCAGAGACCTCTCGGTGTATTCTAGTGTCATGCTTGGGTGGGTTAACATCGAGTAAAGTAAATTCGGACCATCAACATACTCTTCAATTTTGCCCTCTCTTTTAGCAGCTTCTAGCTTCTCCATCGCAATCCTGATCTCTGCATGGCAAATTCTAATTTATAAAATTACTTTTCATAGAGTCTTGTCATACACAATCTAGATATCAAAGGAAAGTTAAATTAGACATCTAATTTTTTTCTGAAAGAAATCAAACAATCTACAAGATTAATCGTACCCATACAAATGGTCAGCTGCTCTCTCAAATTTTTTGTAAAAAGGTGTTTCAAAATATTTATATAGTTTCACTCCTTGATAATTATAATCTATGAAGATAGCTTCAAACATATCCTCCAAAAGATTGATGTCGATAATGGGAACATCACACAAACAGCCCAATCTTCTGTTGAAACATAGCATACCGACACCTGGAAAACACGAATGGAAAAGTTGTCATTAGAACTAAAAGCCACGAAAAATATTCTTACATGGTCTAAGTTGGTTGGCACAAATTTTGACCATGTCACATGATATACAAACTTTACCTGTTACACAACGTTTTTTTTTAAATATTTTTCTTTGAATGCTGCACCTGACTTATATTTTTCATTTAGTGATTCAGGTGAAAGACAAGATTTATAACTCGTTCCTTCTTGTCAAGCAAAGGTAATCAAAGGGTACACAGCTCACCTTAACAAATGTTATATTAAAATAAGGCAAAGTCCCACGCTAAACAAATATTCTGGTAGTGTGAACCCCTGACTGAAAGTTTGGTCTTAGTAGGATTTTTAGTTACTTAGGAATGGACTTACTCCAAAACCTTTTTTCTGTTCAATCACCTGGAAATTTGTAAGCAAGTTTCAGGATCCAAACCAAGGCCGGTAGTGTGCATATCTAGATGTACCCTCCAAGTAAGTTTTCCGATGTAGGGCTTGTAGTGAGCTGGAAATGAACCTCTTCAAAAACTTTAATCTGATCATTCATCCAGAAAATGAACATCAGATCAAAAATACTAAGCAAAGCATGAATCTGTCATTCCTAAAAACCAGCATCCAAAGCAAGACTGGTAGATGCATTATCCATGCAAGTTTAGTCAGGGCAAGGCTTAAAGTTACACCGGAACGAACTTTCAAATGGTCACTCATCTGGAAAATGAAGATCAAATCCAGTATCTGAAGTAAGTCTGAGAGAATTCATATTGAATGACCCTACTCTAAAAACTTTAACAAGGTCACTTATCCACAAAATGTAGCTCAAATCCAGCATCCGAAGCAAGAGTAGTAGTGTGTCGATCTAGATGAATGATTCATGCAAGTTTGGCCATCATCGGGCTTATAATTTCTTAAGAATGGACCTACTCCTAAAACTTTAACCTGGTTACTTGTCCTAAAAAATGTAGATAAGATCTAGCATCTGAAGCAAGTCTGGTAGTGTTCATTTCTTGATAAATCATCCATGCAAGTTTAGTCACCAAAAGGATTATAGTTACTTGTGATTAAACCTGCTCAAAAACTTTAACCTGGTCACTCATCTGGAAAACTTATGTCAGATCCAACATCTTAAACATGTCTGGTAAGGTGCATCCCTTGATGAATCGTCCATGCAAGTTTGGTCTATATAGGGCTTAACGTCACTGAAATGAACCTGCTCCAAAACCGTTAACCTGGTCACTCATTCTGAAAATGTAGGTCAGATCGAGCATTCGAAGCAAGTTTGGTAGTGTGCATCTCTAGATGAATAAATCATGCAAGTTTGGTTTACATAGGGCTTATACTTACTTCAGAATGGACCTGCTACAAAGACTTCAATCTTGTCATTTTTATGGAATATCTTGGCTGAAAATGCAGCATCTGAAAATCTGATTGGTACAGTGACACATACTAGATACATCATCTATGCATTTCTGATCAATATAGGGCATATATGTAGGTACTAGTAAAGATATCGCTCCAAAAACTTTAACCTTGGAAGCCGACACCAAGAGTTTTACAAAAGTTCCCTCAACTTCGTTGAGTTGACCCTTAAATGACATGCAGTGCAATTTAATCACTTGGATTTATAGATGGTTTTGTGTATGCATCATTTGAAATACTATCAATCTTAGATTAGATCATTTGATCAGAATATCAACAATATAAATTACATACTTCTTTTTAAACATTTTTTTCTCGCGTGCTCTTGGGTTTGGTCTATGTACAGACCAGTCTGGACATCAAATTAACCTATCCCTCTTGCATGATCTGTCATAGATAAAGATAGCTTGCAACTGATGAACTTTACGAGTTACGTTCTCTTAAAATACAGTATTTTCTTTGAATCTCTACCAGTTTACTTACTCTCGGTTGCATAATTTACAAGTGTTGATCTCAGGTCTGCCACTTTGCCGCCATTTTTGTATTTTCCGACAAAGTCCTCTGCGACATCTGATAGAATGTGTACATAATCCGCGACAACTGCTGGTTTTGTTATAAGTTCTTGAGTGGGTTTTCGCAGCGCTGCCCATTCCTCGCCATTCCTGTTGAAAATGGAAACAAGTCTTTTTTTATCCTGTATCTCCCTCCTTCCTGTTCAGATTTTAACTTTGAACAAAGTTATCATTTTCAATTGAAGTTATATGACGCAACTTTAGTTAAAGTAATCAATTTTGCAACACCAACTATTTTCAGATATATAGTTGTAAGTGTAATTGTGTTTGATCAAATCAGAAATTACTTTTAAAAATATCAAATACCTATCTTATACGCTGTACAGCAGAAGGATGCAGTAAAGGAAGGGTATAATTATCTTGCTGCATTTAAAAAATGTGATGCATGTAAATAACCTGGTTGCCAAACTCTGGCAGTGATTTTTTCTACTGCTATACGCAGCTAAGATATCAATCGGTGGTCTGTATGGATGGGGCATTCGTATGTCCATTACCTCCTTTGCTATATCAGGGTGGAAAACGAATACCGTCCATTTGTCCTTGAGTCTTGTCTTCACGAGGTCGCCAAAGGTTTCTTGTAGTTTTGTAGCAAAATCTGCGAACTTGAATTTTGGGTATAATCCTAAAATATAATATGATATAATATTTTATATATATATATATATATATATATATATATATATATATATATATATATATATATATATATATATATATATACACACAAAATGAAGTAGATTAAACGACAATTTATCTCCTTCCATAAATACCAATTATATTTTGAATAAACAACAATATTCTGATTTTAACAAAATCTTATTTTTTTTTATTAATAAGACTAGCGTTCATCTTTATAAAAAGTTTAATGTCTATTTTTTGTGAGAGAGTTTTTAATATGCAAGATACTTTTTTGCAGATTCATTTGTCATATTTTGTTCTTTAAAATACGAAAACGTCTTATCATACATACGGACTTTACATCCACAGTGGGACGGTATCTGGTCTAGATAATCTATAACCCTTATGCTTGATAAAAAACAAAGGCTAGATCTTGAAAAAGAAATCCGTATTTGTCCTCCAGCATCAATTACATGTAGAAAAATTGGTAATATTTTTTTTCAAATTTTCAAACCACCTTGGAATCATTCAATATTAGTGGCATGGGACCAGTGTTAGGTTTTGCGGGTTTGAGAGGAAGTAATTTCGTGGGTGTACATCTTGTTATAAAAGAAACAGCGTATATTTTCAACATCAATCATCGTTGGGGTTTTTGTAAGAGGTACCCAAAAACAATCTAAAAATTAATCCCACAGGATATACTGTACGTGTACATAATTTGGCGTATTCAAAATTTAGCGCAATCATTGGGGTTTGGAGTTGGCGAAATCATGAATTAGCGCTATACATGTCTGTGCCGTATATTTTGTTTATAAATGATTTCTTAGCTGTATTCATGAATTAGCGCATCGTTGTCTCCGCCAAAGCCGCTAAAATGTGAAGCCCGCTTTTCTAAGTACACATACAGTATCTAATACAATTATTTCACAAAGACATGGAAAACTGAAAAGAAAGAAGTACCCATAGATCTTGTCATCAGGACTGTTCCGATCCAAGGAATTGTATATTTGCCTTTAGGCCCTGGAATCTCATGAAATGGTTTAACATTAATGGATTCTGGAGAAATGGACGCCGTGGATTGGACAGAATAATGTCGGTGTCGTAAAGCACGGAACAGTCTGCCAACAACAAAACCACGTGAAAATGAATCGTCACTATATTCATCTTCTGTGTATCAGAAATATTATTACAAAAGGAAGTGATAAATTAGTTACAAATGAAAGTAGTCCAATATTAGTGACATCGTTCTAATTCAAGTTTTTGATACAGATGTCCTTTAAACAATAAGATCATCATAGTTTTCATTTTGTTGTTACTGTTAGGCACTTTCACAAGCTTAACCTTATTATTATTTAGATTCATATCATGCCATGAAAGACAAAATAAACACATTTACATTTTTTTTAGCATTTGCATAATTTTATTTCAAAATAACGATTAGCCATTTACAACTGACCTTGACCTGTATAAGTTATTTAGATTTTTTTCTCAAAATTTTTAAGAGTTTAAGCTACTTTAAACAGATGAGGCCATCACTGTTTTCCTTACATGGAAATCCTGCTTTGGGCTACTAATACTAGCATTCTGAAGTACTGTTAATTACTTTTTTATTCGCGTAATCAAGCGAAAATTTATCATTACAGATTAAATACAACAGTAACAATTAGAAAGTGCGGGTATAATAATTCGTGAAATTTTTTTCTCGCTCGTAAATATCAAATAATAACCTGGCGAAAATAAGGTGTCGCGAAAATCACGTTATATACAGTACTTTAATTACTCTGTCACGAGAGTCCGAATATGTACATGAATATAAGATACATGTATACGTGAACATATTTTCATAAGTTGGAGAACTCACCCTGATCTCACCTTAGCCATGTTGTGCCATGTAAACATCTTGATTAATGTTAAGGCGTTTATTTCACTGCAAAAAAAGAAGTTACAAGTATATCTTTTGATGAATCTGATTTTTTTAAATACTAGTATACATACATAGAGGCAGTAGAAACATGCATATTGGTTATCAAATGATTACAAAGCTCAACATGATGAATGTATCTATAAGTAAAGCAAACACCGAACAAATATTCTGGTAGTATTCCTAGTTGCAACATCTATGCAAGATTAATATACACATAAATACTTGGGAATAAACCTGCTCCGAAAACCTTAACTGTTAGTTCATCTAAAATATGTAGAATACAGCATCCGAAGCAAATCTGGTAGCGTACATCTTTGATGCAGCATCCTTGCAATTTTTGTCCAGGTAGAGCTTATAGTTAGTTTGGAATGAATCTTCTCCAAAATTTTAACCTGTTTACTTCTTCCGAAAGTGTCGGTCAGATCCAGCATCCGAAGCAAGGCTGATAGTGTACATCCCTAGATGCATCATCCATGCAAGTTAATTCATCATAGGACTTATAGTTACTTGGAAATGAACCTGTCCTAAAGACATTATTTTGGTCATACATACTGAAAATGTAGGTCAGATCCCGCAAATTATACACCCCCTCTCACAAAAATAATACAAACTGGGAGCAGACAAACACGAACCTCTAAAAACATCAGAGGTGGGATAATGTGTCACGGAGGAGTAAGCATCTCCTGTCGACTGGTCACACCTGTCGTGTGCTCCTTGTCATGTTCAGATAAACAGAAAATTCCGTAGAGAATTCAGTGTCAAAATTATGCTCCAACAATTTTTATGAATAACTTCAGTCAACATTCGACTTAATGATGGATTTTATTTGCTAGCAAGGTCATTGTATCAAGCATAGAATTTGCAAAATGTTGAGTTCAAAAGAGACTGTTGATATCCTTGTATCATCAACTTATTTGTCAATAGCTTGTCTCGTTTTAGAAATTGTTCGTACGTAGAACATGCTCTTGCATATTTAATCAACTTGGAAACGTAAACAACATAAACAGGTGATTGTGGTATATTGCTACATAAATAAGGGAAGTTGACGATAGAAAAGTTGAAGTCATCGTATTTATAATTCATTAACTTGCCAATAACGTAAATCAAGGTATATTCGAGTTAAAACATCGGTCGAACGTAGGCTGTTACCGGTTCCGGTGTAAAGACGAATAAACCCCGTAGAAAATGATCCCTAGTCTTAAAAAAATTTGATTCATGGGTATAATCCTTAATACCCATAGAAAAAAACTTTTTAGATACTAGTTTAATTAGTGTCATTTTACTTGACAATTCATTTCCTTCCATAAAAACTATTTCCATTTTAATTAAGTCAGGCCATATTTAAAAAAAATGTTTAGTTGCTCTCTCCTGACCGACTGTCTAAAAATAGCCCGACTCAAAAAATATTTCCCACCTACCTGCCGTCCCATTTTTTTCATCCTGAGTCGGGAGAGGGCAAACAAACATTTTTTTTAAAGTTGACGTATTCAGTAGTATTTTAATTTTTTTTTTAAATTTTACCTTTTTAAATAAAACTAGCTTATACATCTTTAAAAAAAATGTTAAAATTTAATCTATATTTTCCTGTAAAATTCTCATTTCTGCTTTCTTTAATATACGAAAACGTCTGATCATAGGGACTTTACATCCACAATTGGACGATGTCTGGTCTTGAGAATCTATATTAAACCTTAAAGTTTGCTAAAACGACATTGTTAAGTGTATCAAAAGTAAGTAAAAATGGAAAACAAATCCACAGGGGAAATTAAAAAAAAAACGCTTCTTAAAACAATGATTCATGTACATTTACATTTGTCAAATCAATATGGAAGCATTTCCACATAGTGCAGATTAAAGTAGATGAATGTTGTCAATTTATCCTATACAGACAGATTATTTTAATCGATACATTAATTGCCCGGAAGGGTATGTCCATACAAAGATTTAATGAGACCAACATATCATCGTTCTATTCTTAATTAAGGTGAGAATTTTGGCCCACAGGACTTAATTTTGATTAAAACAAAAAATTAAAAATACATCCCAAAAAAAATACAAGGAGTTATTTTTCCTCGCGTAAGGTATGCAGAGGGTGATGACACTTTTTCTACAGGCGAAAGTAAAGCATCAAATAATGACCGGAAGTAATTTTTCGACGTTGAATAATGACCGGGATCTCCCGTCATTTTTCTACCGGGATCACAATTCGTCTTTACACCGGCAGTTTTTCTTAGAAGGTTGATGCCTGTCCACTTCTCTATTAAAGAGAATAATTCATATACTGTATATGTGCCAAACAGGCTAATCATAGTTTTCCCCATTTATCACAAACGTATCCGATTAGATACTGAATACATTAATCAAATTAATCACACATTTTCCCTTAAACTGAAGGGATCTACAAAAGCATAAATCTATCATCATCATAGATAAGTTTGAATACGCTTACAGATTAACAATCAAATGAATTAGTTTTACCCAGATCGTTGTTGTCATATTCAGGCTGTCCTAATTTTTGTGACCTCTTCAAAAAACCCAAAACATCAAAATATGAATACAATATATATGAAGTATGGCGGGGGGAAAGTGTCGTAATTTACCATTTACAATCACAGAAATTCACGAGTCACGACTCTCAAAAATCAGAATTGTCTCTAGTTTAAGCTATCAATAGGAATACCTTGACTAATTAACCCAGTAATGAAATAGGTGAAGATAACGAACAGTGATCCCGTAAACGATATACGAATCGTAAATAGGGCACGGGCCCATGAAAACCTCATAGCTGGAATCATGTGCCTAGGAGGAGTAAGTATCCCCTGTTATTCGGTCACAACATCCGTGAGCCCTCTGTTTAGAGTAGGTACATGTAACTGAGTAATGGGTGGTCGAAATTATAAAAAAAGAAAAAAGAAAGGCCTTAACAATTGACCAGTATGACCAGTCAAAATATGACCTAACGATAGGCTGTGTTTGCAAACAAGGTCATTATAACTACCAAAGGATTTGCAGTATGCTGACTTTAAACGAGATTTTAAAAGTCCTGTAACACCACTTTTTTCTCAAATAGCATGTCTAGATTTTAAAAAAATGATCACTCCGAACATGCTCTTGTGTTCCCAAACAGTTGGGAGACATAAACACTATATGCAGGTGAGGCATATATAGTGTTTATGCTCGGCACTCAGGACCATTGAGGAGTGAGGGTCTTTTACCGTGCCAACGCCCACCGTGACAAGGGACCTCGATTTTTAAGGTCTCATCCGAAAGACCATGCAGAAATTTTCACTTCTGATGCCGGGCGCTTGGCGAAGGAACAGTCACTACCTATGTTCACCCGGTATCCTGATCACGAAGCGAACACCCTACCACTAAGCTACCATGATCGGTTTTCAGAAATGAAGATCAGAAACTCTAGACATCCATTAAACATTTTCATTTTTCAAAATATTCACCGTTGGCATGGAAACATGTTAAAAAAATGGCAAATTTTGTCCACGAATGTTCTCACAGATGGCTTGGGCAATCTTTATGAAATATCATGAAAATAAGTTTCACAGATACTAGTTGTGTCATTTACATTAAAAATCTTTAAGATGACAACCATTGCAATGAAAACGGTTGGACAAACTTTTCACACAACGAATGAATTAACTAACAGTTCGATTTTTTTCTTCGGGGAGGTCCCGTGTCGCAATAGGTGCTGGCACAAAAAAGATCCCTCACTGTTCAATGGCCCTGAGTGCCGAGTATAGGTCTAAAATTTGCAGCCCTCCACCGGTAAGTGGAGACGTCTCAATATGAGTGAAAAATTCTCAAAAGGGACGCTAAACAAAAAAAAACAAACAAACAAACAAATTGCTGTCTTCTGGTAATATAAAAAATTCGTTGTGTATCAATGAAAAATATTAAAACTATAATCCAAATAATTTATAAAAATTTTAGAAAATAAATCTGACTCACCACTTGCTATTGTCAGTTCGTGCTCAATGATGTATTCTGAGTTAACGAATCGAACATACCGATGACGTAAACATGAACAATAACAGAGCTCGTGCCCATGTTTACAAACACAGATGTTTGACGTGATGTTATGAAGAATGTCGTCATTGAATTTTAAGAATTTTCATGTAAGGTCAATTCATTGAACTGGAGTTATTTTGTTAATAAAAATAGAATTTTAAAATTGTAAATAAAACTGTGTCCAGGCCACTTTAATATCTGTGAGCTGTTAAAATATAATATTCTTTAACAGTTGTTTAATTTAAGATTTTATGTGTTTGCAGATAGTAGAAAGATACATGTAGTTGATTTGAACATAATAGTTAGTTTGAACAATAGAATCTATTAAACTTCTTGTTCATTTAAGTTAGATTATCAAAATATGTATACGTGTACTTAAGGAAGCTCTAAACACTAACAAAATGTGCTTTTTGGACTTGGAGAAATATATATCACATAAAAGGTGTGCATATTGAGATTAATTAATTCATTTTCAGCATAAGGTACCTGCCTTATTTCTGCAGGAAAAATGTTCAAAGACAATGGACTATTCGAGAACAGAAATCACTGTTGTTTACTTACATTGGGAAAATTAATGGAAATAATGAATTCAATAACTTATTTTTGGTCTAATATAATGTTAAGAATATTTAAATCTATTACAAATTGTGTAATTAACTGAAAATAACTATTTTTCTATCTTACTTTTAAGGGCAGATCACTCTAATTGCATAAAACTACCCTACAAGTAGAACTCTTCTGTGTGTAGTGTTTAGAGCTTCCTTAATTTTGCATATTTTGTTAATGTCATGTTGTTAAAAGAAAAAAAGAAATAACTTCCTTGAGGACAGATGATACAAACAAAAAAATGGATGCCTGGATTGGTGTATATATATTAAGAAATTGTAAACCTTCTATGATGTTCTAAATTCTACCTTTCTGCAATCACCATTATAAAACTATACAATTTTTATCACTATATAGGACATAATTGTGAAATTTTGAATGAAAAATTAAAAACATTTTCGTTAAACGCTTTCCTTTTACTTAAATAAACATGACTAAAGTTGTTTTTTCATGGTTTTTGAAACAAGGTTGTATCATCTGTCCTTAAGAATCAAATTTTCATTGATTTCGGAAGGTACTGATCGTGTATGCTTTATACATAAGGCTTTCATGAAATCTGTTTTTATTGTTCTATTCTAGACTGATCATCATAAAAACGCACCATCGAATTAGTTCAATGATTTCATATATAGAAGTAATAAGAGAATATCCAAGCATAAATAAACAATAACAGTAAATCACATACGGTACCAATTTTGATGCACCAGATGCGCATTTCAACAAATTATGCCTCTTCAGTGATGTTCAAGCCGAAACCGTGACATTAGAAATCAAAAATATTTAAGGAGGGATTCTTGTCTGGTTTCTGACTAGACGAAATATTCCAAGTATATTTGCTTGTATGTCTTAAATACTTAGCTGCAATGTATTTAAAAGATCATTTTTTTCTTTACTCATCACAATTGTACAATTTTAAATAGAAATGGTAAACTGAGTTTGAAATCCAGCTGGGACTATATTTTTGGCGCAACTGCGGCGTATGAAAATATCTCCTTTTCCGATTAATATTTAATATTTAAATAAAAAGACTTGGAAGAGCTGAAAAAAGGTGCCAAAAACTGGAGCCAAATACGTCGAAGGATCAGAGCTATGCATAAGGAAGATAATCCTTAATTTTGAAATAAATTTCTAAATTTTACCACAGAAATTAAATATATATCCGTATTTTCAAACTATGTAGTATCTAAGTACTAGGTTACTGGGCTGTTGAGACCCTGGGGGACTAACAGTCCACCAGCAGAGGCCTCGACCCAGGAGTCATAATGTAAATCATATACGGTACCAATTTTGATGCACCAGATGAGCATTTCGACAGATTATGTCTATTCAGTGATGCTCAAGCCGAAATGTTGGAAATCCAAAATATTTAAATAAAAAAGACTTGGAAGAGCTAAAAAAAAGTTTGATTTATTTTCGAGAATCAGTTTATTTTAAAGGTCATAACCCATGCTATAAGCGTTGCTGGTGATGGCTATGGCACGCCGATTGCTTCAAAATTATTTTCTGCACGACCTAAAACAAAAATTACACGAGTAAGTAAAAACTTACACAAAGTGAGGAAAATATACACGAAGCTATTGAAAGAAGATGGGTGGACAAAGCGGGCGAAGTGCCTATAGTGCGACAAACATGAATTGAAAAATAAAATCTCAATTATATAAAAAATTTCTTTGATATTTCATCTAACATTAAAGTATATTTTATGCTAAATCTCTACAGTTTACAAAAATCTCACAAAGACTGAAATTATTTGCCTACGAAATAGCATACACACACTAAAGAGGACAAAAAGGATCATTTTCTCACACTTTAACAAAATTTTTCGATATGAGTGGGTCTTCGCTCCATTTTTTTGAAAGTTGATCCTAAAAGTTTGCATAAAAATATACATTTTTTGGTTTACAAAAACATGGAGCAAAGACCCACTATACCTTAAAAGTACACTTTTATGACAAAGCATTCGCATCTTTCCGAGAAATACTTGAAGTCCATTAAGTCAAGGGTCATATCACAAACATGATTTAAATGCCACTATTCGTCAGGAGCTGCGTGGCGTAGTGGTTAGCGTGTTAGTCTCAAAACAATATGATACTCCGGATTTTTATTGATAGGGGTTCGCATCCCACGAATACCATTTTATTTTTTTAATAAAAGTATAATTTTTTCCGAGATCTTTTTTCTCAGAAAAGTTTTGTTAATCATAATTTCATAAATTTCAATAATGAGAACTTTATTTTAAATACTTAATTCACAAATTGAACATGATTTTATTAATATCTGAAGATATAGGCATTCTGCACGCCTTGTTCACCCATCTTCTTTACACAAACTATAGAAAAACTGCACAATCAACAAAATATTTACACGCTATAGTGAGGAAATTACACAAACGTAAAAACGAAAACTGCACGAGTGAGAATACAACATCGACATAATATGCTACGCATCCTCATTGCGCACATTTCATTAATATTCATTAGAGAACAGTTCAATGTGGTTTGGATGCTTGAAACATACTATAAAATTTTTACAAAAGGAGGAGTAACGTGTTGGTAATCTTTTTAAAAAAGATTCTTTTAAAATTCCGCTAGACTCTCAAGAATATATGTACAACGTATATTATACATGTAGATAAATTGACAGGCACACAATCTTAAACTTGTAGTATATGAACAACCCCGAATAAAAAAACATTCTTCACAGAATACTTGTATAGATAACGTAAAAAAGGGGGATGCATATAACCAGTTGTGTGTTTAATTGTTGGATTTTTAAAAGTATGTCATTCCTCTATATAGCAATTTCTTTTGAAAGTTTAAAACAATGACATATAGGGCTAGGCCTAAATAAAAATAAATAAAAACATGTGATATAATACAGGAGAGTTAACAACAAATCAAACTCTTCTCCTCCACCACCTACTGTGTGTACTTTTGGTAATAATCAAGGATGTGCAAGCGTGACCTTAATTTTCATACAGAGATCCTTCCCTGCTGGTTCTGGAACGAAAGACACATGTACGCTAATCGATTTATAGCTATTTGACACACCAATAATACCTTTTGATTAAAGATTATATTACTAGCAATTCATAATTTTTTTTTTTGAAGCAATGTTGCGATCATCTGGGTTGTGGAATTTGACCGAAAACTTTTTGGAAGTCAACAGTAAAGAAAATCGAGCAAATATTAATTGTGCAACTTAAATTTTAATATTGAAACGCATATCTCACTTTTTGGTATATGTATGTAACAAAGTACATGTAGTACATGTAGTCTTAACTTTTGTGCAACGTGTGGTGATCTCATAAAAACTCCAAGAAAATGTAGAAAAAATATACAGTCGTTTTACTTATGTAAATTAAAGTTTAATTTATGTTGTTTTTGATGTATCGGCGGTAGACTATTTTGAATAGTTAAAATGCATATAAAGGAGTTAAGAAAATTTAAAATTATAAAATACAGGCAAGTAGTATCGTTTTTGAAAGCGGGGGAGGGGGGGGGGGGAGTCAGATTTTTTTTTTTTTGACAACCTACCTGAAAAAACAAAACAAGTATTTTCGAAACACATTATAATACCAAATTACTTTGATTTAAACTATCCTACAACAAAGGGAGGGGGCAACCAGCTTTTCAGTGGAAATTTACAATAGAAGTAGGTTATATTTGGAAAAAAAGTGGGGGAGGGCAGACCCCTCCTGATGCTACGTGCCTGAAATATTTTCTAAGAATTTAAGGGTACATAAAATAGTCTATCGAAATCAGGATTGCAATTCAACTGAACTGTAACGATATTGTAAGACCAAATTCAAGAAGACATACAAGATGAACTTAATTAGCTGGGACTTGGCTACACATGCACATTTATTTGCAATGTGCAGATTTTGACAATAATAAACACACGGTAATAAAACAAAGATTTCTTGAGGTCATCATATGTTTTCTTATATTTATTCGTAGTCATGCTCGAAGTAAAACAAGACCTGGTTGATGCCATTGATACACATGTACAATATTGCTATAAAGCAAACTTTTTAATTATTTGTACATGTATTCGTACAAAATACAAATTGCATAGATTAGGCTTTTTAACTTATAATCTGATTTTTCAAAAACGTTAGATATGCACATGAATAGTCTTTTAAAAAGTGAATCTTGTATCAAATATGTTCCTTGAATGTTATTGAAGATTATTTTCATTTCATAATTATACAGTCATGTTCTTTTTATAATGACTATAGATTTGGGTAAAAAAGTGTTAGCCTATTACAAAAACTTAGTGTTCGGAAAATAATTAAAATTTTATGCATACGAATTCGAAATGTAAAGAGAAATTGTTGTCTTGGAAAATATTTGTGAAACCTCGAGCTCCATAAAGAACATGATTTATTTGCATTATTTAAGAGTGATACAACACATTCTTTGTTCTTTCTATTTATTATAATATCCATTCCCATTTTCTTATTTGTAACATTGTACGTAGATGTATTTAGTAATTCACTATGTTTTAAAATTTCTGATGTGTCATTATGGTCCAACGATTTGAAACTTTAATAAATACATAGATTCAGATGTTGCTACTCTATCAATCCACGAACCAGATCCGCCACTGATGATATGTTTTACCGGATCATTTGAGTAGAGTTTTGTTATTTCATTTGGACAAATTTTAAGTAACAAAACACAAAACCGCATGTACTAAAGCACACAGAGTATATATATTTTCCCTTTATCTGGTCCTATTTATTAAAAGTGAAAACATTTATCAAGTAATCGCCATTACGAATGAGGGTAACGCTTACCCTTAGGAATGTCTTGTTTTTTTATTGAGTAGTTTATGACTGAAAATATGCGATATCATGGAAGGAATTCATAACAGTGTAGGCTACAGATATCCAACCAAAATTGATATTCTCATATTTTATAAGTAAAGATACATGTATAATTAGAAAAAAAAAATCTATGTTTGACTTTAAAAACATACTGTATATATCTAAGGTCAGGTAATTCCCACTTTTTAATCTATGAAAAAAAATCTGCCCAAATGAATACAAATGAGAAGTACCAAAATGAATTCTACAATTTAATGATTATAATCAGCAATAATTCTGCCATCATTTTCATGAAGAATCCACGTTATTAATTGTTTTATTACGCATGTGTTAATTTTATTTTATACAAGTACTTTCCGTTAAAGTTGTATCTATAAGTTAGAGAATTTTAAAAGACCATAGAGCGTATTACTTTTAGTTCGGAGTCGAGTGCATCATATGCAATGGTACTTTTTTCGGTCACTTTTTTCCCCGCATTATAACACAAACATGCAATTCCTTTCTTGTCACAATTTATGTCCGGCATCATATAATACCTCCATATTTTGGCTAGGATCTCGGTCAATATAAGAAAAATATAATATCTCCGAACAACTTTTAAATTTTTTTACACAGTTCACAAGAAAACATTTCATTCGTTCGATTGGCATTAGCTAGAAATCGGATCGAGTTTTAGCAAAGAAATAAAGAAGCAAACAAACATGCATATCATCGTCAACGCCATTTTCTCTCGATTACACCCAGCATTCAAGAAGAGATAAAGAGTACAGAAAACCATGAACACAATGAATATTCTATATGCATAATAATGATATGCGCAGCTGTATGCGCAGTAAAATTGTTTGTGTAATTTTTAGTTTCCTCTGCTCGTGCAGTTTTTGATTTTACGTTTGTGCATTTTATACCCCTTAATCGTGTAAAAAATTTCGGATTCGTGTATTTTTCGTTATGTTTGTGTTAAAATCTTTCAAACTATGTGTAATTTTTACCGATACGTGCATTTTTATTTTACTCGTGTATATTTTTCATCAAGCTAGTGTATAAAATCGTGATCGTTGTGCAGAAAATAATTTTGAAGCAATCGGCGTGCCATAGATGGCGCTGTGTTAAAATAAGACCTTTGATTGCCTAGCAAACAGATCCTCGGATTGGGGGTTTCTCAAGTTATAGATTCAGCAGTTTTGAATCTGTAGATGATGTGATTTGATGCGGCAATCTTTTTGGATTGTAGTGACCCTTTGAACACAGGGACTACGAAGATGAAACACTCCATTTGTGTCTAAATTTGCATATCTAACTATCCAATTCCAAAATAAAAATCATAAAAATCTTTCAGAAGATTCTTTTTTAACAGATATAAATTCTTAAAAAAAAAACAGAAATAAATGTGAAACATGAATAAAATGTAAATCACAATATCGAAAATAAATAACAATGCTAAGCACGTAATGGATATGTTCTTGATTTATTCCAATGAATTTTACAATTCAGGGATGATTTGGTTCAGATACACAGAAAATACACACGGGAAAAATAAATACTAGTAAAAATTGAGATCATCAAAATGAAACCAGATTATGTATCCACACACACATATTATCTATATATTATAATCATTGGTATAAAAGTCGATCCTTATCTTGTTGGAACGTGATAATTATTTAACTGAATGTTTCAAGTATTACTGGCTGTTACTTGACATCATTTTATAAAATGTATGGCAGTAATCACAGCATTATCTCCCTTTATGAAGGTTTCATGGTTGCCTGGGACTGTTTCAACTTTGAGTTCCCCGGAACACACCTGAAAGTCAAAGATCATGGTATTCAATGAAAGGCAGCATTAATAAAAAGATATTTTATTCACTGAAAAGTTGGAAGACGTGTAATTTTATGCAGGTAAATTTTTTGTCCTATTAATACTGAAATAAAATACAAATCTACATGCACAATTGTTTTCTTTTTTACCATTCTTCAGGTGCTAGAAAATACTTAAATTGTTCTGTTAACAATTCTTTTTTCACTGCAGTTTAATTATTTGTCTCTGTGAAATTTACACTAGTGAAGTGATAATATTTTAGATATATAAGTACATAGATCTTAATTTAAAGGGAATGTAGAATTCTACTTATAAAACATGAAGGAAAGAGCAGTTTTACATTAAAAATGATTCATCTTTGGCTGAATTTTAATACATCTATATTTCAAACTTCAAATATTTAAGTATCCTCTTATTGAAACAGACATCCATGAATAATTTTCTCATATTTCAGTTATAATAATGCACCTTGAAGCATGAATTTCCATAGAATAAATTAATAAATTCACCTCGGAGAGCCCATAATCTGAATCCTTGGATTGGAGCTTGCTGTCAGCTGCCTTCAGCAAATGGATGGGACACTGAATTTTACGACTCAAAGAGAATTTCTCTGCAATCTGGAGTCGTCTATAGAAAGAGCTGGCAGCTCTCTGTAAATCCTTAACATCGGGGAACAACCCAGTGGTCATCAAGGCATCTGACGCAATTTTGACCCTGGTCTCAAAATCCTCTGCCCCAGAAAGTTGTTCCATCAACTGCAACAGTGCAAAAAATTATATAAGTTTACACTTTCATTCAAATACTTTAAATTTTCGAGCATGAATACATGTATATGATCAAGTCTTTAAATTCTACCTGAGTAGAGTTTCCAGGAAGGAACTGCTGAACAAAGCTACACAATGCCTCTGTTTCAGCCATGGCTTCACTTTCAATAGTTTTTCTGTCCCTGTACATTTCAGTGTATACTGAGACAAAGTTGTGGGAGCCATCCAACAAGATCAGCTGACTGATGACCTCTCCTGCATCCTCCAACTGAGCTGCTATCTCCATAGTAATACATGCACCAAATGAGTACCCCGACAGAAAGTAAGGACCACTCTTTTGTATGGATTTAATACACTGAAAAATAATGCCCATGGTTATCAGATCATTTATTTCTTACACAACACAACATATACAATTGGAACTTAATTTTCCTACATGGTTTGTTTTGAATGGAAATATCTTTTTTTTTAATCAGTGAAAAATGAAAAAGCAAAAAAGTAATGACCTGAATATAATGTAAAGCCATAGAGGAAATGGAATTTAATGGCACATCTGATGAACACTGAAGTCCATATACTGTATATGGCAATTTTTCGACCAGCTCCTTCAGACTTGTGCAATCACCTGAAATGTTGCAAAATTTATGTAGATAAAGGCTGCCTTTAATGTACTAATTGTTATTTGAAGAATGTTTGTGAGCCAAGAAAATTACATTCATTATGTAATTGGGTTCCAAAATAATCATTCTTACCTTCCAGTGGATGCACCAAGAAGAGTCTCTTGTCACTATGTTTTTCTTGAAGGCAGATGATGGCTTGATCTGGCATCATTTTGTCCAGCTGATATCTGTCAGAGAGACCTAATGTCTGATGGGACTCCTTCTGCAGTCCTTTACTGCTGCACAATTCCTGCAGCTTATTCATTGTGAGTTGTCTGATTTCTGTTGTAGATAACACCAAATCATAATCTCTCTCTAGAGTCTGTTTGATCTCTACACCCATCAGAGAGTCCAAACCAAGGTCTGCAAAAGTTGTATCCACACTGACAGAGCTTGCATCTTTTACACCTGCAAAAATAGTATGTATATGAGTTCTTTTACTGGTTACAAGATGTCAAAGTTATCACATAATTCTCAAGTCCATGTGAAGTGTATTCTTTACATACTGGTAGATTAATTAACTAAAGTTTAAGCCTAGTTTATTAAATGCAAAACCGTGGTTTACTCATTTTTGTGATTTGATATGCAATATGTTTGTGCTTTTTTCAGAAAATTCACACTTAAAATTATGATTATTCTACATGTATATGGTCATACTCACCAAGTATGTTAAAGACAGCTTGAACAAGATTCTGTCCACTTCCACCACTCTTATTTTCAGTCTTGGACTCAGCCTGAACAAAGCTGGACAAAACTGGTTCTGGTCTGTTCAAAAACTTGTCTAGAGTGGATAAGCATGACATAATTCTCTGAGGAAGTGTTCCTCCAATCACTGTGTCATTATTTCCCATAGTTTCCAAGACGACACCGACGTCACCAATTGCTCCCCACTGGATTGCAAGTCCTAAAATTACAATGATTGCTGAATATCATACAAAGAAAGAAGTGTGTATAAAGATCTGATACCTTCTTCCAAACAAATCTTTTTGATTTAAGCATTTAATCTTACCTGGAAATCCATCCTTCTTTCTTTTTTCACAAATTCTTTCCATGAATGAATTGGCCAGACCATAGTTAGCTTGTCCAGCATTTCCTCTTCCACAACTGACTGATGAGAAAACAACAAACCAATCCATACTCTCCCTGCATACCTCTCTGGTAACTTTATCAAGGTACATAGTTCCAAAGACTTTCGGTTTGCAGACACTTTGGAAATGATCAACAGTCTGGTTCTCTATCAGCCCATCTTTCAAGACCTTGAAATAAATCACAAGTTTTTTATGGTAATTCATATGGTAAAAGAATAATGCCTCACTCCTGACTCCACACACTTGTACTTGGTAACAGTTTTTCATCCCCCAAAAATTGAAAACTTACCATGGCTAGATGGAATATTCCTCCCACAGGCATTATTTGGCAGGTTTCCTGTATTAGTTGTTTTGTGTCCTCTTCACTTTGAAGATCCCTGTTAGATATGATGACCTGGACTCCTTTTCTCTGCCATTTCATGAGTTTCCTCTTCTGGTATCCAGATTTCACTCCTGATCTGGATGTGAGGACTAGAAAACGAGCTCCTCTTTCTATCAGCCATTCAGAAAGCTCTAGTCCGAAGCCTCCCAGGCCTCCAGTGATTATGTATGCTTTGTTTGGATTGCATGCTGACCTTGGAATGACTGATAACTTTTCAGAAGAAATGTTAGCAACTTCATCTGAAAACTAGGAAAATTATAGAATCCATGGTTAAAATTGTGTATCAACTCCGGGGACAAAAACATGTTAATTGGCATTGAGAGCAATGAGACTGAGAAGGGAAAAGTGGAATGGCAGAATACAGGAGTTCTAAATTTACCTTTATAAGCACTTTTCCAATATGTTTCCCTTGAGCCATGAATCTGAAAGCTTCCTCCAACTGATTCTTTTCAAACACACAGCTACTCAGAGGTTGCACTGCACCAGAATGTATCCCATCATCCAGCAGAGAGGACACTTCCTGCCAGTCAGCATTGTTCTCATCAAACAGAGCATCCAACAGAATACCATGGAAACTTATGTTTTTCAGAAAGATGGACATCCCTGGACAGAAATTAGTCATCAATTAAAATATATCATGAAAATTTATTTGGGACTTATTTACACAAACTATGAAGCAAAGATCTTCCCATAGAAATCTATATTCATGCATTACTGCAACTTCTCTATTATTTATGTAAGTGAAACATACATGTAGTTGCATTACAGAAATAATCCCAATTTGTAAATTACACATTGAATGGAGTATGGAGATTCCTACATTGTATTGAATGTATGCTGTGAATCAATATAACATTTTTTTTGATTTTATGATATATGAATGTATAAAATAAGGAATCTTTAGATTGCACATGAAAGTGAAAAGCTGTATACCTAGAGAAGTGTTATTTGAGAGATCATATTTTCCTATTTCCAGAAACCTTCCATGTTGTGCTAACACCTGTAAGCTGGCCTGTAATTTTTCTTCAGAGAGGGAGTTCAAGACAACATCAACTCCTGTAATATATAAAAAATCATGTACCACTTAGTATAGCACTTTTTAACTGAGATGCAGTGTCAAAATTAATGAAGTACTGTAATTGTTACCTTATTTTTTTGCTAGACAATGGCTTTGCGTCTATCTGTGCTTCACATTTTTTAATTTACAGTACATGTATCATCTAGATTCAAATGACCAGTAACTACATGTTTAGTAATTTTCTGTAATTATTAATACTAATTTTATTTTGCACAAAGAATGGAATAAATTCATATACTGGAAAATGCATTAAGTTCTCCAATGTAATATGATAATTATATTCACTTCATAAAGCGCATTTGGATGTCATACCTTTCCCTTTTGTTACAGTTAATATATCCTTTTCAAATGACACATCCCTGGAATTACAGAAGTGATCATCCTGAATTTGAGGAAATCTTAACTTTAGGAACTCTCTCTTTTCCTTTGAGCCTATGGTGGTAAAAACTTCACATCCATGATGAAGAGCCACCGAAATAGCTGCCTGTCCCACCCCACCGCTTCCCGAGTGAATCAGGACCTTATCACCTGCCTTTATTCTGCCTCTGATGACTAAGGCATAATAAACAGTGGTATAGACCACAGGGACAGTAGCTGCTTGTTCCAATGTCCAGTCCATCGGAACTGACCAGAGGAATTTTGGAGATACATCAATGTGTGTGGCTAGTCCCTGGAACATGAAAAATATAAATTACATGGCTTGTATATCACATTTAGGATTGATTTGTGTTTTAAGTAGTTTAAAAGGTATTTGTAAGCATGGAAACAACTGTAAAATGTAAAATTTTTCAGAGGGAGCAAAATACTTTTCCAGACTCAACAATCGTAGAAAAAGGTATTGATTCTCTGCTATTTTTAAACTAACCTTTGCTGGGACCAGTCCCATTACTTTCTTTCCATCACTATTATACCCCGAGAACTCCATTCCAAGAATGCAGTCTTGCTGAGCAAGATCTCCTGGAATGGCATCAGGGGGCAGTCTACCCGTGGCTAACATTATATCTCGGAAGTTGAGAGCAGCGTAATTCACGGAACACATGGTCATGGAGGTAGAAAATCTAAGTGGAGACTCAATCCAGTGAAGACTAGATAGGTCACCTCGTGTCAGTACATTAACATAAGCATGGCTACTAGGTTTCTTCTCTATGAATTTATCTGTGAATACAAATAAATAAATTCTACATTGGCGTGAATTCATCGATCTAACAAAAGTCATTTAAATAGGATTTGTATAAATACAATTTCATTTCGAAATAATATTTTCAACTACCTTCTTGAATAGGGAGATGTCTAAATGATCCCCAAACTCCATCTCTATAAATGTTCATAAGTAAGTTTTTCTCTTGAAGAATTGTGAATACTTCCTCAGTTAGATTCAGGCTGCTCTTACCCACAGTATTATTAAGGATACATCTGTTGAGGAGATAACATAAAAAATGTTGCATATCTTCAAAATTTAATTTTTTTCCAACCTACAATATTTCAAATTTAGTAAACAATTGTATACAAAATGTATTTGGTTTTGAAAGTTTGACAATTTCCATAAGTTGTTGAATGGAAACTGACAATCTAATTGCTATTTTTCTCTAACGATAAAAAAATTGTAAAGTTTAAAAAAAAAAGATAATTTATATTTTGCCAGTGTTTCCATATCAACTTTTCCATGTTTCTAACTTGTTTTCAAACGTCTACCTGATATTAGGACCTCCCCCTTCTCTCCTAAGGCAGTTCACCATGCCAACTACTCCATTAGGACTGCCAGTTTCGGAAGACAACCATAACATTCTGCTTGATGTTCCATCTGCTAATTCCAATATTTTTGATTTCATATCCTCAAACCATGTACAACTGTAACAGCTTACATCTATTATGGTTGTAGGGACTATGGGCTTCATCTTACGGAGTAAAAACAGGGATGACATGATGCCATCAGATCTTTTATATATGAGACTCAGACCCATTTCTTTAAATATTTGGTTCCATTTGTCTTCATTGCAAAAACAGTAATCAGATCTCTTGTCAGAATCCTCAATTTTTGGAAGCTTTTCTTGCAAACATAGCACTGCAAGCATTATAGGGAAATTTTCAGTCACTTCTTGTATTAAAAGAAAGCCATCTTCATCAAGAGCTTGGGCAGTGTTTTGTAGTGTTTGTTTGAGATTTGATTGTTTGTGAAGCACATTTTGAAGGATTATAAGATTGCAAGGTTTAATGTTAGGGGGTGCATTTGAGATGTTCCATTGTTCTGGTAATAGGTTGTAGAGATCCTTTTCCTCCTGAGAAATATCTTCTGTACATCCTGTGACTCTGTAGCAGATGTTCATCATTGGGTGTGACATCATCATAGGATAAACACTTCTGTAGAAGCAACTGTCTTCTGCTTCCACCTCCAATACATTCAGACATGAACTTGTACAGTTTTCAATGACAATATCCAAAGCAGGTTTTAAAACATCTGACTGTGAAAGACTTCTCAACAGCCTGTCTTTCTGAATATCTATGGTGTTTATCTGCTGTTTAAGGAGTTCCAGTAATGAAGTGCTTGCCTCATATGGGAAGACATCTTCAACTGACAATTGACAATCCTCAGAAAGATGTGAGAGAATGCTTTGGAGTGTATCTTGGTTGATGATACTGTTGGTGCTTTGTTGGAGATTCTTCAAGCTCTGCAGTGCATAGTGTCTACACATTGCAGCATAACTTTTTAGAGAAGGGGATTGATTGACATAGTTATTAGTAATGTAGGGAACAAACTCAAATCTCTCCAGAGTGGGAGGTTTGTGTTGCTGCTGTCGCCGTGGAGCTGTGGAGGCATGAAGTCCATGAATTGTGACTCCTCCTGATCTACATCTGTCTGTGTACTCATCCACTTCCACAAATAACACTGAAAATAACAAAATCGCAGTTCGTCAGACATATACCCAACTTTAATTATGGCACTGAAAATAAAAGATGCTTATTTGACATGCTTTTTACCTGATTGGTCATCATCATTGGTATAGGCATTCTTTCCATGTAGGGATGGATTAACTGTGATCGACTTGATTCTGGTTGGAAGACATAATCCATTTCCAGACATATGTAAAATTGATATCTGCAACATAGTGTCCAAAAAGGAAACCCAGTTGTTCTTCCAAATCAATTCTCCACACTTTCCTGTAAATATATACATCACAAACTTGTCATATCCCATTTTATTACTTTTGTTAATAAATTTTATCTTTTGCCTTTAATTATTTGTTATCAAAATTACAGGGAAGGCAGTGTGGATCTTTCCGAAAATTTTACCCAAGACGGCAATGTCTCTGTGAATTTTGCAATTAGGAAGGCTCTAGGAAGAATACAGTGGTTGAGGTTGGGTTGATTGCTCAGCTTGTGAATTTATTGACAGTCACAAAGAAAACCCTTCTAACACACATGAAAATCACATTGTTTTCTTTTTTATGACAGACTGTGAAGACAATGGGGTTTGCAGTATCTGTAAACTTGGTAAATGACATATTTTTTGCTAAAATATTTATAAAAATGATATATTTACCATTAATTTCAGCAGCTGAGATTCCTCTGAAGTCTGGTCCATAATCATATCCCCTAAGTCTGAGCTCTTTGTAGACATCAGCACCACCGAGTTGCATGGCTGGTCTCTCTGTACTGGGTAAAATCTCTGCTTCTGATGATTCTATCTCCTTGATTTTTCCACTGACAGACAATGACCCACTCTCACTGATCTCAAAGTCCCCTGTTGTTGACATTATTACGACCTGGAATTTTACTTTTCCTGGTGGAAAAAAGAATCATTCATAAAAACATTAATAATGTTCAAGCATATGAATAGCACATTGATATATCTATCTTTTAGGGAATATTTAGATTCATAATGTACCTTCAGAAGGTAGGATGGTAGCCCTGTGAATCATAACATCATCAAATTTTACAGGCATTTCCTCCCAGTTTTGATTCTTTACTTTGGCTAATGCTTGCCATGCTAACACCAGGTACCCAGTGGCAGGAAACAGCACCCTTCCATCGATGCAGTGTCCAGTCAGGTAGTTGTCAGAAGAATCTGGTCCAATGGTAAACTCTTTTACAAAACCAGAATCTCCACCACCTCCAGCCATCATTTCTTCCATTGTGGGTACATCCCAGTTCACAGAGTGATCCCACTGGGCTTGTATCGCTGGAGAAATCATTGGTGTACCTCTTGGAACTGGAAAACTAACTGCGGGGTACAACTTCAGAGGATTCATCTTCATACCAAAAGTGTAGCACCTGGAAAGATGGATTTTAATTAAAAGAGGTGTTGAATTTTTTATATAAAACACTGAATATTTTTAAGTTGGACACATACTTTCCAAGTGCCATAAGGAAGTGCTCAACATTGTCTGTATGACCTCTCTTCATTAGTCCAACATTACAGCAGTTGGATTTGAGAGATCTCTTCAGGATTGCCTGCAGCAGGCAATGGGGAGCAATTTCAATCACATTAGCATTGTCTGGAACATGTTTCAGAGCTTCCTGGAATAAGACAGGACTGACCAGATTATTGACATGATACTCTGCTGAAGAATACTGTGCCATATCGCTGTCCCAGCTTTTCTCTGGAATTGAAGAACTGATCCACTTTTTGCTTCTTGGTTTTGGTTTGATTACCTGTTACAAAGCATATCAGAGTTATTCATATTTGTATTTTTCAATAAATCTAAGATATGAGTTAAATACTGTAAATTGTATATACAGAGAAATTGCCCCCCCCCCCCCCTTTTCTGTTAAGTGAGCAAATTTCAAATGGGGCAAATTCAAAAAATAGCATAAACAAATTAACACAACTGTGCAACTGTGTCTGGGTGAATTTAAAGCAGGGTAAAATTGTTTGTTAGAGTAAAAGGGCTAAAATAAATGGGCAAAATTAACCCTGTATACAGTATATTGGATTACCTTGTCAAGAGCTGCCTTGAGCACAGGGGCAATTTTTGCCATATAATAAGAATGAAAAGCAACTCCTGAACTGTTGACCTCTTTAGCAAAGACCTGCCTCTCCTTCAGCTGCCTCACAAATGTAGCCACAGCCTCTTTGGGTCCCGAAATGGTAACTGTATCCTCAGAATTGTGACAGGCAGGAACTACACCAGGTGGACACTGAGCACAGGCTTCCTCCCATGTGAGACCTATGGTGTAATTCTAAAATTATTCTAGTCATTCTCCTTCATGTGTGGATTCTTTTTTAATTACTTACCTAATTTATCTCAGTGATTATTGACAAAGTCTCAAATAGAACTAACTTCCGCAAAATAATGTGAATTCTAGTTTGAATAATAACTTTTATTCCATCATTGACCAGATCTACCTACCAACAGCAGCCATTCCTCCTGGGGGTAGATTGGACTCTCTGATGCACCTTCCTCTCCAGTAAGCAGCAAGAACTGTCTCCTCAGCTGTCAGAGATCCATCAGCATAGCCACATCCAAGCTCTCCAACAGAATGTCCTACAATTCCATCTGGTTTGATTCCCATCACCCTCAAGGTGTCCACCAATGCTACCTAAGTTATATTGAAAGATGAATTTCATCAGGTGGTAACTTTAGTTGGCCAAACATTGTTTGACATTTACACTAAGCATTAAATTTTTCTTTCAAGAAATTCCAATACATAGACCAAGAATTCAAATTAACTTCTCATACCTGAATAGCAGCAATGCAAATGAAGGAATTAACTGTGTCTTCAAAAGCTGATTCTTCAGCATTCATCATCAGATCATAGAGCTTCACACCATACACAGACAAAACAACATCAGACTTTAGGATAGAGTTTCTGAAGACATCAATTACCATCATATCTCTTCCCATACCATACCACTGGGTCCCCATACCAGAGAAAACAAACCAAGTTGGTCTCTTCTCTCCATTGTATGACTAAAATAAAAGTTAAGAATGTGAAAATGTGTTTCAGAGCATTAACATCCAATTAAGTGATGACCGTTCCTTCAAAGGAATGGAATTTGTGTACCTGCATATGCATGGAGTTATCAGACCCATTGAGAATGGTGAATCCTCTGTACATTTCAGTAGAGACATCCAAGTTGGCACTTTCATTCAGCAGAGCATGCATTTCTACATTGTGTTTATTGTCTTGAGCCATTTGGAGAATATTTTGTACACCATCTGATGTTCTGCTGGAATAGACAAATAATCTTTTTGCTGTGCTGGCTTCATGAGTGTTTTCCCTTGGGAGTTCTGATGACTTCAAAATTGCATGAACATTTGAGCCTCCAAATCCAAAAGAATTTACTCCAACAAACCCCTCCTTCATGGGCATATTTCCTTTGACAACTTCTAGTCTACCATCTATCAGGCCTGGAATATCTGGATTAGGCTCACTGTAGTGTAAATTACCAGGAATGATACCATTTTCCATCCCAATAATCACTTTAGCAACAGCTGCAAGACCTACAGAATATTAATGAGATAATATATTAAAGAAATAAATGTATATGCAACAATGACTATTTTCTGTCCCCAAAATCAAACTTTGATAGAGAATTCTATAATTATATTATTAACTGAAAGAATATACTGTATCTCAAGCTTTAATCATTAAAAATTATAACTAGTTTGTAAGATATAATGTCAATAAAATGATGTTAGTTGCAGATTTCAATGAAAAAATCTTTTTGTGTGATTGATGGTTTCTGATTGGGAAATATCAAGCACAGTTTTTCCAGCCTTCACCATAATGTTTAGAATGCTACGAAATATATGAAAATGAGGTCTGGAGTCCAGGGTTCGAAATTCACTATATAGAACTCGCAAAACGCGAGTTAGAATTCCCCAATTGCGAGTTAAAAATTAGGTAACTCGCAAAAACTTGCGAGTTGATTTTTTTTGCATTGAAACTGTAGCAAAATTATATAATATGACAGAACACAATGCCTTTGATTTAAATCAGTAATTTAAATAAAAGTCACACTAGTTGTATTTTGTGTATTGTACAGTAGTTACTTTTTCCTTAAGTTACATGTATTTAATTTATATAAATTTAACTTTATATGAAAATTGCGAGTAGTCTTATAAAATTGCGAGTTCACTTTCTTGGTACTCGCAATTATTTGCGAGTTGTAATTTTAGGGAGTTTCTAACCCTGGAGTCAGATTTGATTTTACACTTTAAAAATGTCCCTCTGAGCACTCAAGTTTACAATGCTATTTAGACAAAAAATGGTAAGTCATTTTACACAAGTCATTAAAGATGCTACTTTATGCTACAGTGTTTATGACTGATGTGTGCAATTGATTTACATATATAAAATTAATTCCAATACTGCATATAGTCCTTTATCACTGTTCAGGACTGACAGAGAAGAAATATATAACCAACAGTTAATACACCTACCAGAGGCAGGTTCAGCATGACCCATGTTGGACTTTACAGACCCTATGGGTAGTGGTCCTTCTCTGTCCTTGCAGAACACATCCACAATAGAGTTGACCTCTTGGGGGTCACCTGCCTTGGTCCCTGTCCCATGAGCCTCCACGTACACCACTTTATTGGGAGCCACCCCAGCCTCCTCATACACGTCATAAAGCAGCCTTTTCTGGATTTTTCCTGATGGGAAGGTGATTCCCTGTTCTTTGTGACCGTCTGAGTTTGTCTTTGTGTGGACTACAGTGCTGTAAATCCTCTTTGCTTCAGGCTTCATTTGAAGGTACACAGCTACAATTCCTTCACTTCGACAATACCCATTTCCTGCAATAACATTTTAGTATCATATCAAACTTTACACCAATTATTCTTTCCTAATATCTTAAAAAATTCAATTACAACCTTAAATATTTAAAACATTGTAATAAAAGGCATTTTGATTCTTACCACTAGCATCAAATGATTTACAAGTTCCATCAGGAGAAAGCATCCCCAGCTTCAGAAATTGTAGGGCAGTGAGAGGCTTCAGACAGGCACTACACCCTCCCACAATGGCGGCATCACAGTGCCCCTGTCGAATGCTGTTCACTGCTTGGTCGAGGGCCAAAAGGCTGGAGGAACAAGCGGTATCAAGGGCAAAACTAGGACCTGAAATTTCAAGTTAAACATCCATTAGGAATGGAAATATGAATATTTACGTGGAACTAAAAAATTTGCGAGAATAAAATAATATCATATGAGTGTTTGTTCTTTATTTAGTGAGAAGTATAGCAATATGAGATCACTATAGCAAAATGATGCAGCGTGTGTTTGAGGCTTTGAGGTAATCTCTACCAGTCTATCATACCTTTTTTACGAGAATAATGTTTTGCTATATCAAATTAGCATGGAAATTGTCATTAAAAGGGCAGCTCCCCCTCCCATTTTGTTGTAGTATGGTAAATTACATCCTCACACCACCCCAAGAAAAGGTTTTAGTTTGCTTATCCCTATCCCCCCCCCTTTTCTTTTTTTTGCTTGTCAAAGTTTTTACAGATATTTTGTCAATTATTCCTCAACCCCTGAAAAATGATGCTATATGCCTGTTTACCCCCATTTTTTCTATGCCAATTGAAATACTTCACATAAACCTTCTTCAAAACAATGAAACAAAATATATCTTTACAGACATGATATTATACGATACATCATTTTTTTCTATATACGTTACAAAATGTGGTAAAGGTTTTCACTTCAATCTTCCATGTTACTAGCTGTATACGTATTCCTAGAATAATGTATAAATAATCTTGCTAAATTCAAGCAACTTTCCTCTTATAGTTGATGGTCAACCTCCTTTCCAGATAGCACGAGATTACCCTACTTTTGAATCTATTTTAGGGTCCCCTCCCCCTCTCCACCTAACCACATATAAACTCACCAATGGACTCGAGGAACTAGGAAAAAATATTTGCATTTTTTCTGTTAAATATTTGAATGAAAAGCATTTCCTTTAAAACAACAACAACAAACTGGTGATTTTACCTTTAAAGTCAAAAAAATAAGATAATCTGTTTGCGAACATGGATCGTGTGCACCCTGTCATGCTGTATCCAACGGTTTTCTGGGGGTCCGTCGCCCATGCCTCGTGAGCCTCCGACGCACTGGCCCCAATAAACACGCCTGTCTTAGATCCTCTGATACTGGAAGGGTTCGTACCTTTAAAATTACGAGAAATTTTTTAAAATGCAATTTAAAATTTTCACGTATTGTGTCTTTTTCAGTCGTGAAAAGAATATTTTATAACAGTCTATTTAGTATTATTTGGATAATCAAATAAGAGTAGATATGATGTAATGAAACTGTGTGGGACAGATCCTTTATAGGTTTTAAACCAAATAACTATCTATTTCATTATCAATAATGATCAACTTTATATAGACGCTCTTTCATTTAAATACGCACTTTATTTTTGATCTATCTAGCTTTATTTTGGATACATGCTGACGTATGATCATATGACGTATATTCTTTAAATAAACGATAATAATTAACAGACACCAGGTTCAATAATTAATTAGTGTAACCAGAGACATAAATAAAATGTCTCTGGTGTAACTGGTAATTTCAACCGCGAATTCCTAGTAAGCAAAGTTTAATGAAAAGTCCCAATGCTGTCTTATGAGCAAGAAAATATATAAATGATAACAATATATAACAATTAAACATTGATATATTCTTAATATGTTTTCAATATTTCCGGAACCCCACCCACCCCCTTCTCGACTCCTCTCGGCGTAGTATATCACTAATCAATATATATACCTGCGCTGTTATCCCGCCATCTGTCACTCGGTGACAAACTGATAGACCTATCATTTTAAACATATTCATTTTTTTTTATTTTTGCATCCTCATTGTCATATTTTATGCAATTTAAGTCAATATAACGCTGTGCAATGTGAGAGTAAGCAGAATTATATATATTTCAACAAATTTTGCCACGAAAAATATATAAAAATTTCGATCAATAAATTGAAACACCTGTCATTTATTCATTTCATTACCAGAATCAACGATGGCTTCATAAGTCACCTCCAGCAGCATGCGTAATTGGGGGTCCATGCTGTTAGCTTGTTTCGGATGAACCCCAAAGAAAGTTGCATCGAATTTGTCTAGTGTCTTCAGTTTTCCACATCTCTTCGGTAATCCATACAAACCTATTAATGAAAATTTATAGATCTTCTCAATTTTGTAAAAATTGATATTAAAAAAACCCTGTCCGTAAACGGTATAATGATTGCCTTGAATTTATTTTAACCAAATCGACCATGTACATTTGTCTAATGGTGCAGTGGCATTTCTAGGGATTTCTAGAGGAAGATTGCGGGAGTTGCAACCACCCGCCCCAATTCAATTTTTTTTTTTTTAAAGTAGATGAGGCGGCTTAATTATATAAATGATATCTGATCATATTTAATAAAGACAAAAAGGGGTACAAGTGAAAGTTTCCTTATTACGAGCAAATGTTATGCGTTAAAACGGAAAAGTTTTTGCGCTATATCACACAATTTTCGAGTTATAATTATAACGCAAAGTTATGCGTTTAAATTATTTTCTTTTAACTTATGAAAATAGCCAAGTGGGCTTTCATAGCAAATTTTACGATACATTGTGCCGAAGAAAAATTTTCTCATCACCCCCCCCCCCTTCCCTTAATCAAAAATTTCTATATCTGCTGCTGTATACTAGTATGGTAAATCGTACGAAAGCCTATTAGGATCAATCTATGGAGAATTTTTTTTTTAAAGGCGTTATAACGCCATTCGAAAAGGAGTTATTACGCCTTTCAAAAGGCATTATTTCGCCTTTCCAAAAGGCGTTATTACACCTTTCCAAAAGGCGTTACGCCTTTTCAAAAGGCTTTATTACGCCTTTCCAAAAGGAGTTCTTATGCCTTCTGAAGAGCCTTTATTATGCCTTTGACAGGCCCGTGCTTTTGAAGGTGGGGAGGGGGGAGGTAGCCTCCCAAAAATTGACAAGCAAACAAAAAACAAGAACCCCCCCCCCCGAAAAAAAAACTAAACTCGAGGGGGATGTTTTTCTAACTTTTCGGTAAAACTTTTTTAAATGCAGTAATTTTCCAGAGTTTAACCATACTGCAACAAAATGTTCTGGGACCAAGCAGTCAATAAATGAATTATTTAAACTATAGCATGACTATTATCCCCCCCCCCCCCCTCGCATTCGTACTACCGCCCTGTATGAAAAGGCGTTATATCCAATGATGGAAAGCGTTATTTTATATTGATAAATATATGAAAGATTGAATCAAAGCCATCTTTATTTATGCAATATTTAAAAGTATTTTTTATATTCCTGCACATGTCGTAGACAAGTGTTTGCATGCGTATTACGAAAAGTCAACACTCTACTTGTGAAAATCCAGGATATAGGCAGATGCAGCTTGGGGCTTTGCTGGCCATGTATTAAAAAATCATGTCAAATTTTCCTCTTGGAAAAAAAAGCAGGCAAATTATTTGCATGGGTATAATAAGCAAATAACCTTCAACCAAATTTGTGAAATCCATGACCCTTGGTAGAGTTGTCTGGCATAAGAGAAGGACTAAGTTGGATTAACATTAAAAATATCTTACACATTTAAAAATCTTTTTTTTCCCCTGGAAATCTAATTACAATGTTTAAATTGTTTTCTTGAGAAATTAGCCCTATATTTTTAACTGTGTCCCGAAGGTAAGATTTCAGCAGCCCCCGGGGTGGGCTAAGTTAGTCATGTATTGAAAATAAAAGACGTAATAACGCCTTTTTAAAAGGCGTAATAACGCCTTTTGGAAAGGCGTAGTAACGCCTTTTGGAAAAGCGTAATAACGCATTTTGATAAGGCGTAATAATGCCTTTTTGAAAGGCGTGATAACGCTTATAGAAAGGCGCAATAACGCCTTTTGAAAAGGCATAATAACGCCTCTTAGAAAGGCGTAATAACGCCTTTTCGAAAGGCGTTATAATGCCTTTCAATTTTTTTTCTCCATAGATTGATCTTAATATATACGCTTTCGTAAAATCTAACTACATGTATTAACCTCCTTTCCTCTTTTTTAACGGAAACTGAATGTATAGGCCTAATAATAAATAAGTTAATAACACCGTACCAGGTGGCCATCTTCTGTCATCCTCTGTCACCATGTCATCACCATTCATAAGATGTTCTTCAAATTCCTTCACATTCTCAGACTCCGGTAGCCGACACGATATTCCGCTGATGACAAGTTCACATGCCCGCCTCTCAACGACAGGCGGATCCAACTCCACCTCATCTAAGAGTTCCACGGGGAAATCAGTTGCTGGAATCGGGTCATCTAGTATCCTTGCTGGCATCTTCTAAGGCTGGATTTAAAAAAAATATTGGTTGTTTAATTTACATTTCAAATGTTAATATCAGACCTTCATTGAATTGAATTACTGTATAAATTTCTAAATATGCATTAAAAAAAATCACGGAATTATCATGACTTTGATCTAAATAATATTTTCAAAATGAGAAAAAGTCAATTACTCTAATTAATACGATATGGTGCATCTGCGCAAAAGTAGTATGACGTGATGACCAGATCAGTCTCAATTAAACCGCAAAATTTTATTCAGAATTAATGAAATCAAAAATTGGTATCGAGTTTTTCCTAGGGAAAAAATTATCAAATTTTAAAACCTCTCAAATGAATTAATTTAATAAATAAATATTCAAGATTTAAGGACTTTAATTATTAATAAATATAATTTAGAAATATGATTCATAAACTATTATAATTATTTTTTTCAATTTTACATTGATTATAAACATGCATGATCTAGCGAACTTACTTTATTTTCGAATACTACAGCTGTAGAATCCTCACCAATGCAAATCTCTCCTCGTCTGATGAAAAAAAAAATGTTTTTATACAAAACTTCGCGGTATTCACCTCGCTTGACACGAGCGCCTGATATGGCCCCATTTTGCCTCAACCAATCGGAATGGTTCTTACATGTTTACATCGCGTGTTATGTTTACCAATAAGACAAGGTGCCGCTTCCGTGTTACTCATGAAGAAACGATCGATAGACCCATTTTTTTTTTTTAATTTTTTTTTAAAAAATATACTTCACATGGTTTAGTTTGACCTTGACAAGTTTCTTATTTACACTATATTAATGGATATCTCAGCGCACATGTATACATAATTATGTAAGAGTACTTGTAAACACTGTTACAAGTGTGCTGAATTAGAACCCCCCCCCCCCCCAATTCTCCAATTCTAGTATTTATGAGTCCGTATTTTGTGTACATGGATAACATTATAGCCTGTTAAATGAAAATACTATTATAACAATGGTAACGAATGACTTGGGACTATAAATGTAGTAACTAATACAAAAAAGTTGCTCTCTCTCTCTAAACTATGATGTTTATCAAGCTCAAGAATTATATATATAGTTTTCAGATTTAATATCATGTGGATGTTAAATTTTTAGTGTGTGTTGTGGAAAATTTTGATTTACCAATAAATATTTGAATTAAAAGCAGATAGATTATTTAAAACATTTTTAAAAACCTATATCGGGTATATTGATTAAATTATTTCTACTGATTTTCTTGTGAAATCTGCATTTGAATGAATAAGATTTTGGTCCCCTTTGATCATGTTGATGAATTCCGAGCAGGAAAATTTTTTATCCATTCTACCATAATTTTAATTGTTCGACAAATTGAATCAAGTTTGAATTGCATAAACTTAATCAACTGTTTATGAATTTTTCACTGAAAATTCAAAAATTGCAAGTGTTGTAAAGGTTGAGACTATCTCAGTGGTATATACCGCTTGCAGAGTGGCGGACGTGTTGAGGTGTTTCGACGACAATACATTATACAGTTATATCATCTTATATATTACCGCTTCATCATGAAAAGTCTGATTTTAAAGGATCACTTTGAGAAAATTTAGAAGTAAATTATACGTTGTAGGTTATTCCCTTAAAGATAAAAATTTTACATCCGTTAAAATATGTTAGCCTAGATTAGATATAACTTATGTTAGTTATTATTTCAAATCCTTTCATATTGTTGTTTTGATTTCACTTTATTGACAAATACTGATTTGATAGGATTCTTTTAACAAATTCTTTCAACTTAACACCCCCCCCCCCCACTACCACCACCGAGGGTTCAGTACATTTTTGTACATTGATCCGAAAATCAGCAGTTAAGTAATTTAAAACAGAGTGATTGTCGATATTTTTTTTTAAATATCGTTTTAATCTTTTTCATACGCGGGCTTATAAAGGGAAAAGAATATTCAACTTTGAACGAGTTATTTAATTTGTTTCACGATAGAGGTCGCTTCTAGCATACGCAAATTTTACGTTTCCGCCATGTTGGAATAAAGAAATCATGTAAACGATTCAGAGATTTGATAACTTTTGTTTAATAGGTATTCATTAAAACCCAATTTTATGTAATATTTACAAAGCAAACAACAAAATAATACAAAGATGTCAGCTCAAGAGCAGATGAGAGCGATGTTAGATGAGCTTATGGGGACTGCCAGGGATGGTAAGGAAATCTACCATTCGTTCTTTGGAAATAGATCGAGTGCTTTGATACACTTCCATTTTCTTAGTGCCCTTGTTGATTATATATATTATTTACAAAGTTTCATATTTTGTTCACCATTTAAAAGTACCTAATAACATGCTTCACGGTCATTTTAGTGGACAGTCTGTCAAAAAGGGAGTCGAAGCGCCCCCTAACAAAATCGTACCGGTCAAAGCGCCCCACAATTTCGGTCAAAAAGCCCCCTGATTTTGGTCAAAGCGCCCCCTTATAAAATTTTACAGGAAATTGTTGTTGCAATACCATCCCCAAGAAAAACTATTTCTACAATGGTCGCCTGCGTAATGCAGTGAGAGTGTTTGCTCTAGAGTAGCGGTGTAAGGAGTTTATCCTTATGTCATGGGTTCGAATCACACTGCGGGATGTGGAGATCGGTTCTTCAGATGAGACCGTATAAACTGAGGTCCCATGTTGCAGTAGGTGCTGTCTTGAAAAAGATCCCTTACTGCTCAAAGGCCATGAGTGCCAAGTACAGGTCTAAATTTGGAATCCGGGATGTTTCGCGCCCATTCTGTTTCGCACTGAGATGGTTCGCGCCAGGATGATTCGCGCCGATTTGGGCGCGAAACATCTCATTTTCATCCGTTTTAAATTATTTATCAAATATGATATAAATATTTTGTGTGCTCAAATTCATGACTTAATAACATGCACTGCTATAGTTAACGGATCGTACCGTGCCCTTTTGCTCAGGGTGTCTGTTCAACAATTCAACAGTGTTTCAATGACGATTTAATTGTAATAAGTTGGAGATCAAAAGGTGAGAATTTAAGTTGATGTGTGGGTTGTCCAAGCCAGCAATAATTACTTAATTAGATGGCGGTATTATAATTATCTACTTATACGTAATTAGCACGGTGTTATAATAATTCATAATTATGCTATGTATGTATACTTCAAACACAGACATAAATAATTTACGTATCTGCTTCAAATATAATCTTCTTAAATTTAAAAAAATATGTTCCAAAAATATCTATATTTACATATAGTTCTACAATCTAAAATTTTGTTAAATGAACTAAACTCAGTAGCACATTTATGTACTTGGAATGAAACATTGTGGGGCGAACCATCTCAGCGCGAAACAGAATTGGCGCGAAACATCGTGGGGCGAACCATGCATGGGTGCGAAACATCCCGTTACGTAAATTTGCAGCCCTAAATCGGCAAGTGGTGGTGTCTCAATATGAGTGAAAAATTAACACAGGGATGTTGAAGTAACAAGCAAACAAACAAATACAATGTGTCCCTGACCTTGACTATCCTTGTCCAAGCTAGTAGAAATGCTATTTGCAATATTGACCAGGTTGGGACCAATCGCCCATGTGGGATGTAAAAACACATCTGGGATATAATATCCCAAATGGGATATAAATTTAGAGTGCAAAAAATGAAAATTTTTATTTCTGCTATAATAATAAATATCAAAAATCTGCATCAAAGTTCTTAAAAAGAAATAACTTTTGGCAAGCAAGTTTTTCTGCAACCCTACAGTTTGTTAGATTGATCCCCAAGAAGTTTAGGAACTTCCGAGGGATCAGTATCCTGAACAGTTTTCAAATTGTTTGAAAACATAAACATACAGATAAATTTATGTCATCTAGATAGTATTAGTGTATTTTGAGTATTCATATTTTTTTTGGCATTTCATGTTTATTCCTAAAAATCTGTATGTAATCTGTCCAGCCGTGGTGTGTATGTGTATGTTTGTTTATGTCTAAAGTCAATAAAAAAAAATAATACCCTAAACAGTAAGCATACAGAAAAACCAAAAGTTATTCCTTTATAAGTATTTTGATTCAGATTTATGATATTTATAGCCAAAATAAAATTTTTCATATTTTGCACTGAAAATTTATATCCCATTTGGGATATTATATCCCAAACAGGCTATTTTATCCCAGTTGGGCAATTGATCCCAATCTGTTGACTACACGATGTAATTGAAAAGTCTATCTTTTTCAATTGCTTTTGATTAGAGCATTAAAAGAACATTTTTGATTACCAAAGTGCTTATTTTTATTATGCAAAAACACATATACTTCACTGAAATCATTAGTTAAATTAGCTTTTCAAAATTTTTGAGACACTTGATGCACAAAGTTTGGTCAATGTATTTTTAAAAAAGTGCCAGTGTGACGTTATCCCCACGAATTTAAACTTTATCTTTTTATTTATTTTAATGTTTTAAATTTATAATAAATTTCCTAATATATATGTATAACCACCAATTGAATCTTTAAATGGTCAATAATGCACATTTTTGATAGGAACAGGTTTACCTTCCAAGAAACAATATTTAGAGAAACAGTAATTATTTAAAGTAGCATTAACCATTAAATCAAAATTAGGGCTTGAAATGTGCAGATGAAACAATTACACTGAAAATCGTCTGAAATAATTCCTAATGACTTAGATTGCTTGTGAAACACTTTAGCAAGGAAGAATATTGAAAGGTATATGAGATACTGTATTTAATTGAATATGAGTATCCAGTTTAGATAGAATAATGCATTACTACTAGATAACTATTGAAGAATGCAAAATACATTAAAACATTAACATTCTTGTACTTTTTCAGAGACATTTTGCAGCAGATGTGTGATCAATACATGTACATCATTACATGCTGCTAACATGCATATTAATTAAAAATTCAATATGTATCATTTATGCATGGAGGTGTAATTTTAAAAAAAAGGTTTATAACTTTAAATTTTGGAGAATGAAAATTAAATTGGAACAGGTAAATTAACTAAAGTAAATCCAGATTGTCAAAATTGTAGCCTTGACTGCTTAGATAAGGTTCAGTAAGTGGACATGGTTTAAGCATGGACTATAGATAAAAAGTTGACTCAGCATTACATTGAAGGTGAAAAAATGTCCTTGTCAATGATTTTTTTTTATAAATATCATAATGATTTAGAGAACATCATCACATGTAACTGTAGAACTTCTGGTCAATGAAGGACAATACCCCATTACTTTATCTTACAAGGTCCCTTTTCAGTGCTAGATACTTTATTTATTTGAACTTAAACAGTACACATTAAAAGGGACTCTAGTTTATCTTTTTCTTTAGGAGGTTTAAGCTTTTATTTAGAACTTTGATTTTTCACTTCTGCCTAGAATGCGTTGGAAGAATTGGACATTGTTGTAACATGGTATAAGAAGCACATATGAAAAGGAAGAAAAATAATTTACAGTCATATTTCAGAATAAAAAATATGTTTGTGTATTAAAATTTGATTCTTATTGTTATATTGAATAGTTTAAGTTTTATGTATGATTCCTGTGAAGACATTTTCCATACTTATGATTTTATCCCTATTTTTAAGGGAGCTTTTTCTTGTGCTGTAATCCAGTCAAATTTGAAAGGTGATGAAGGCCAATTCGTGAGTTTGCAATAGATCTTATTTCATTCATGTTTATTACTGTAGGTTAATTCATATTTAAATACATATGAAGGTAAAATTATTTCATGACTCAAGAGGAACAAGATACAATTAAAGTTAGACTTGACAAAAAGTTGGTTAGAAAAGCATTGGATGGTAAGGAGTCTTTGGTTATAGTAAATGAACTGTAGAAGCCATGAGACTAGTTTACTTTACAGGTACATATTATAGAAGATATGGGGGCTGGGCATAAGCAGGATACATCTGACAGCTTGCGCAGTGTGTATGTAATGAAATCTGTGATTCTTAATGGCCCATTCTTTTCTTTCTTCCTAAGATAGCCCTTTTCTCTTTGTTTTCGTCAAAATGTCCAATTTTGTTCTAGAAATGAAGGCAGCTGGTGGAGAAAGGGACTCTTAAAACTGTGTGTATTAAGATTTTACAGGTGCGGGCTTGTGAGTATTTTGATCTCTTGTTGACTCTATGTGACTAACAATTTTAGGCGAGAACAGCAAATACAAAGTGAAGTTTGATGACGCTCGGGTATGTAAGAGTTTCCTGCTGGGATGCTGTCCACATGATATTCTTTCTAGCACGGTACGTACATAATAACTCACTCTGCCTCTCCCCCAAAATTCTGTCAGACCTTTTTTCGGTATGTATTGCTGTAAATTAAATCAATGTGAATACAAGAAGATTGAATTGAAGAGAGAGAGAAAAAAAAATTCATGAGAAAAATTTTTAAAAACCATTCAATGAAAAAAAAATTTTTTTTTCTATATTTATTTGTTGAAATGAGAATTTAAAATTTTGTTACATTTGTTCTAAGGTAAGTAAAAGTGACTTGATGAGCATGCGCGAGTCCAAGATCATGTAAGTTGTCATCTGCACAGGATTGATGTAAATGTATCCATGAGCATAAACATGCTCCACCCTTGTAGGAATTGTATTATATATGTTGATGTGATTGTATCAAATATGAAGATTTTATTGCAAGATGCCCTGTTCTTGCAGCGGATGGACCTTGGAGAATGTCCCAAAATCCATGACTTGGCACTGCGTGCAGACTATGAACAGGCTTCCAGAAGGAAGGATTACTACTATGACATTGATGTAAGTTTTATTTAAATGTAGATGACATTTTCATTAAATAAAATATTATTGATTTAGGTATTCATACATTTTATAACGAATTTTACTTTGTATATGCAATTTTAGGCAATGGAGCATCTGTCTAGTTTTATAGCTGATTGTGACAGGAAAACCGAGTTGGCGAAACGTCGCCTTAAAGAAACACAGGAAGAACTAAGCGAGGAGGCTAATGGAAAAGTAATTTAGAATTCTTTATTTATTTAACTTATAAACAAAAAATATTTGTTTAGCTGAGTGTATGGAAATAAGCATATTAGAATTATTGTACAGTCAGTGTAATCAAAATAGAAGAGATTTATATGCAAAATAATGTGCTTCACCCACATATTAAATGTAGGAAATCCATAAACAAAAAATGAATAATCTAGTATGTTAATGTGTGGAAGTTAAATGATGGAATATTTATATTTTACAGGCTGAGATGATTCACAAGTTAGGGGAAGAAATGGGGACAAAACTTGCCAAAGCAGAGGATCTTGGTGCACAAGGATTGGTGGTGGAGTCATTGCAATTGATGGAAGAAGTTGAAAATTTAAAGAAGCAAAAGGCTGCTGCAGAGGTATTTATCAAGATAAATATTTATAAGGAAAAGAAATATTTGTTTTTCCCTATTTCCTGATAATATATGTAAATTATTTGATTTTCAGCAAGAATACAGAAATTCTATGCCAGCATCCAGTTACCAGCAGCAAAAATTGCGAGTTTGTGAAGTGTGCTCAGCATATCTTGGAATCCATGATAATGATCGACGTCTAGCTGATCACTTTGGTGGAAAACTTCACCTTGGCTTCATTACAATTAGAGAAAAGCTAGAAGAATTAAAGGTTTGTTCATTAGAACTTTTTTTTAAAGTTTGATTTGACAACTTTAAAAAAAATTTCAGCATTATAGTCTTTCTTTTAATCTACAGAAAAGCATTGCTGATAGGCGAATGCAAAGGGAAAAGGAGAGAGAGGAACAGAAGCTGAAGCGTGCTGAGAGAGAAAAAGCAGAAGAGGAGGCCAGAATGAACCAAGCACGCAGCAGGAGCCGCAGTCGTAAAAGAACTAGAAGTCGCAGTAGAGACAGGAAACGAAGGTCACGCAGCAGAAGTCGGAGGTACAGAATGATTTACTACTGTGTATCATTTTAAAAAAAAAATAAGTACTGTTTTTGAGAATTGAATAAGTTTCATTTTTATATTTCTGTAGATCCAGATCTCGATCCAGAAGTCGCCATTCAAGAAAAAGATCCAAAAGATCAAGATCCAGATCACGAAGCAGGAGATCCAGGTCAAGGTCAAGAAGAAGATCCAGGTATATACTGAAACTTATTATTTTTTTTTTAATACATAGACCAATTTAGTCTATATCTTATTAACTCACCTGAGCTGAAGGCTCACCTGAGCCGAAGGCTTAATGAGCTATTCTGATAATTTAATTACTGTGGTATTTATTAAACAATATTAACATGAAAGATGCTTTATTACTTTAGGCGTTCCAGAAGTAGGTCAAGGAGCAGGTCTAGAAAGTCAAGAAGTCGTTCCCGTCATAAACGTCGCCGCCGTTCAAGGTCCAGATCACACAGCAAGAGAAGCCAAAGCAGAGAAAGGAAGAAAAATGGTTCCTCCAGGTCCTCATCAAAAGAAAAAGAAAGCCGCTCCTCAGCAGAAAAATCACCATAATCAGGTATAAATCATGAATGTAACGGTTAGTATTTGCAAAATTTTTTAGTTCAGTCAACATTTTAACAGATTTTCAGTCATGTTATCACTCAAGTTATTACGTCATGCAGTATAAGCTATGTTCAAACATTAAACTTTACGTAGGTTTGTTCAACTTAGATTGTCCATTTCTTGCTTTGCAGGTTGAGACAGGAGCCATATTTCATTTGGATAACCATGTCAAACCACCAAAAATATAGACGTGATTTTATTACATCTAGTTTCTGGTATAATGAATCAGATTCTGATGCCATGTTTAAATCTTTTACCTACATAATAAAATGGAAAGTTAGTGAAAAATTGATTTGTTGTGCATGATGATCATAGAATATGGTATTGAAATGATGTTTAGTATTAAAATTTTCATTCAGCAGAATGACATGGTCTTCATAGGATGACATGTTTTTACCTTAATTATGGTATTAATATGTGGAAGCTCAGTACTTAAAAGGACTATGTTTGGTAATGGCCAGTATTTGCCCCCCCCCCCCCCCCCAATTCAAACTTTGATAGGGAAATCTGAAAGTATATTCTAAGGATGCATGCAAACTTTGAAGCATGAAACGTTTTTATTGGTTGTGACTGAAGTTAAATATGTTGTCAGACAAATATTAATTCAACATTTCAATCATTTCAAAAGAAAAAAGTGTATTTTACGTCAATAATTTTGACTCAAAAGTATCAAGAGCAGGCCTGCTTAGACTCCATCTTTTGAAATAATGTGCCGAATGATAATATGAAGAAATGTGTGGGGAAAAAAAATCCTCAGCAAGTTTGTGTTCTATGAAAAGTCAAAATTGAACAAAATTCCTTCATTTTTCTCTCTCTTTTTTTTTAAATAATGGGAAATCTCCATAGTTTGTGATGTCACAGAGATAAAAATGTCATTTTTTTTCTCTCTCTGTGCAATGCATTTTGTAAACTCAGCTTCATTTTATAAAATATATAATTTTGTGCACATTTCTCGAGATTTTCAAAATTTGACTTGTAGGGGGGCAAGGATAGGGCTTTACTGTATAAAGTTCTTTGTAAGTGTTCTGCTGACTGAGAATTTTCATAGCATGAAGAATTTATACAAGGATTGAATCGACATAATTATTTTGTGCTACAATTGCAAGGTGATAAAATGGCCTGTTTGAGTGCAGGCAACCTCAATTTTTGTGACCACTGACATATTTCAGTAAACTTGTGCAGTGGTTAGTGCATTTTAAAGATATACACGCTATATAAACGCAATTTTTTATGTGAAACAAACATGAAATAATCTGAGAAACATGATGTGTAATAAAAAATATTACTTTTCACAAAGTTTTACTAAATGTACAAATGAAATAAACATGACATTTAGCATTATACTTGATTTAGTGGGATTTCCTCAAAAGCTGCTGAATTGAAGACACCGCCAAATGTAATATGTTTACAGTATATAAAGTATCATTTGATCAAGTTTATATCTCAGAGTAGCTGCAGAGGTGGTGGATAGCTGGAGGAACATCCTATTAATTTTTGCATTAAATACTAGTAGTCAAAAGCCAAGGTCAAAGATACTGCGAGTCCTTAACTGTGTTGTGAATACTGTTGAGTTCTATTTGACCTTCCAGTTTGCACTTGTTAAAGATGAAATAGGTTCAGACACCTTTTCTTTGAGGATCAAAATTTATGGTCTAAAACTAAGTTTTTAACTTTTTGGTCACAGTTCGTAGAGAATTGTCCTTACAGACTAAATTTGCTGCAGTCACTCTATTGACAAATAAGTTGATGATACAAAAATATCAACAACATTTCACAATTTCTATAAATTATTTTTGGGCCATTACTTTCACACTGAATTAATTGTCAACAGATATTTTCGTTTTCCCGATTATAACAAGGCGTACACGGCGGGTGTGACCGGTCGATAGATGAGGCTTACTCCTCCATGGCACCTGATCCCACCTCTGTTTTCAGAGGTCCGAGTTGGCTCTGCTCATAATTTGTATTTATTTACTTAAATGGACTTATGAGAATGATCACTGTTGGTCATCTTCACATTTCATTCGATAATCGTTTGATTTATATGCAATAGATTTATGATTAATATGCGAAATATTATTGTTTATAAGCAATAAAAATCTCAAGATTATCGAATAAGAATCAAAAGTTGTTGCATATAATTATGAAGTTTACGAATATTTTGTATTTGAATTACAAGATATCGCATATAAATCTCAAAATTATCAAACATCAATCACAATTTTTTGCATACAGGAAAGTTTTCGAAAATGATTATCAGCTTTTCGCATATAAATCACAAGATAATCGCCTATACATCACAAGATTTTCGAATATGATTATATGTAAATAACAAGTTTTCGAATATGAATATCATCAATTTTTCAAAAACAAATCACAAGATTACAAATATAAGCTAGAAGTACTGTGAATTCTTAGCTACAAAATGATACCCCCGCCTCCCATATGTTTATTATGGCAAAGTTCATGTTTTGCAATGGGAGACAAGAAATAAGTGCCCGATCAAAATGTAAATTAGGAGGTGCACAATGGCACTATGTAAAAAAGATTCTGTGAAAGTCTCATTAAATTTTATTCTGTGGTATAGGAGGAGTTGCGGATTAGAGATGGGTACCTCTCAATACTATAGAAAGAATGGCAGTGTCTATGTTTTGCTATGGGAGATCCAAAATAAGTGAAATAAGAACTGAATAATGGCACTATGTAACAAAGATTCTGTGAATATCCCATAAAATTTTATTCAGCGGTATAAGATGAGTTGCGGATAAGTGATGGGTACCCCTTAGTAATGTCAAATCGGTCAATTTTTGATAATCGGTTACTCGGACGTTTTTCCGATCGAGTAGGGTACTCGGTAGAAATGAAATTAATTACAAGTGTGTTAATTTTATTGAGCCCCGTTAAGCTCTGTTAAACCCCGAAGCTGTTTTTATCACGTTCATAAATATATTTAAACAATCGAGTCTAATTAAGGGAAATTATTTTTGGTAGTAAATTTATTCATCAAATAAACACAAAAGACACAATACGTCAAAAATTACAATTTTTTTTTTACAGTTCTTGTTTAGAATCTATTCCATCAACGCAAAAAGAGGACAATCTGCTACGCAGGTTTGTGATGATTAGACTAGCGAACGGGAAGGAATGGACGTTGTTTGGATCGCTAGTCTAATTATTATTTCATATGTTGGTTGTGTCCCCCGTATACACTTAACTTACTACGCAATCTGACTTTCAACATTTTTTTGAATCTTCAGTTATTTCTAAATACTTCGGGGTAGCGGCATTTCTATGCATGTCTGACTTGGCTGCTGTATATTAACTAAATAATTTAAAAATGATTTGAAGATAATAGACCATACTTAAACAATGTTCAATGAAAACGATCATTGAAGCCATCCAAAACTTAAGGGCCACAATGGGTGTATATTGTCAAATTTTCGGGACGACCTGTCCCGTCCCGAAAATTTGACAATTTTTATTGTTCGTGTCGTTGGCTTTTTTTTAGTGCTTTATATAAATTTCCATACGTGACCTTGTATCTACTTAGTAGATCCGACACTTAGGATATACAGTGTTGTTGGTTTTATATATATAGTATAATATACATACAATATGTTTACTATATATAGTTTATTTTTCCTTTGTAGCAAAGTTGATAATTTTTTTTTTTTTTTAATTCGCATTTATTCCAGCCCTTTTACAGTTTTCCTTTTCCATTCTTTTCAAGCCAGAGCTTGGACAGGTGGCTCTCGACCAGTTCTTTCTCTCACAGAATGGACAGTTTTCGGTCTTTCTCTTTTATCCAGGTCTCTCTAAGAATTTTTCTACATAATCTACTTCATTAATTAATTTTGATTTTGCTTAGTTATTTCATGTTCAGTCTTTACCTCCTTTTTGACATAACCTTCGTCACACACACTGAATATGCCGTATCCATCAGAGGATAGCTTTCTTGTCGCTAAAAGTCTTTGTTCGTCTGATCAAGTCTATCCGTTTCCTCACTTACGGTGGATATACTAGTAATGGAAATAGCCATAGTCTCATGTGACAATCGATGATCTGGACTTTCCTCCATGTTATTAATGGTTACTTTCTGCGCTTCCGGTTCAGTATGTAAACTATTACCATTTACAGTAGACTCTATCCCACTGTCAGTACTTTCAGGGGTAACAGAAAGTAATTTGGTGTCATCATCAGAACTTGCAGTCGGCGATGTGTGCGTATTTAACCAATCTATACACTTAGGAATGTTGGTACTTATCTCAACTTGAAGCTGTTCGTATGAAGAAATCTTCCCAGGTTTTCCTGAATCTGATTTTCTTGGAGGTTCTGAGGTTGTGCTCCTGTCACCAATACTGCTCATACTACCTGTACTTCGCCATGATTGCGAAAAATTTGTGATAGGTTTAGAACAAATGTGGTTCCCAAGTTGAGCTGGGACAAGAAAACCTAACTTCGATGCCAACTTGTCATATTTTTTGGATAGAGCTTCCTGGAGGTATTGAATTTTCTGTTTTCTGTTAGATGATTTATCCACATTAGAAAACACTATTTCCCACAGACTGTTTTGGTTCCCAGATTGTCCTGAAATCACTAGGTCCAAGAATTCTATGTCAATGATTTGATGGCGACAAAGGTGATCTACAACGTCACGTATATCTACATCACGTTTGATGACACACAACAGACATTCAGAACTTCTACCCTCTGATGTTTTCAGGTCATAAATTCTTCTTAATTCTTTAGCAATATGAGGATATTGATGCTTTCTTCCAATCACTTCTAGGAATTTGACAAAATTTCCTCGTCCTCTTTTGGCAAAGAGCACAATAAGCTTGCGTATTTGATCTTTCCTTGTGCTGATGTGTGAGATATCGGAAGCTTCGTCTTGTGTTAAACATTCGTTGTCAAGTAATTCGTCCATAAGATGTGTGCTATTCAAATCCATATCTCTTACCATCTCTTCTAGATTTTCCATCAGACACTCTCTGTGAAGAGTCTCGCTTCCACTTAAGTCATTCTTCTCGAGCTCATCTGAGAAAAATAAAGGGTGATCAGCAGCTTAAAAACATAATACAAAATGTACATACTAAAAGAGAGCGATACGTTCTTTACCTTGAAATAGAGATCACGTTTTTTTAATAACATTTTAAAATGTGCTATTTTTACCGGTGGCTTTGGATTTGTCTCTGCTTATACATCTTAACAATTCTCTTTGTAAATTGATGTTGGAGACATTTCCTCTACTGGCAATGATAGGGTCAGAAGATCGCAGTCTCTCGTTGATAAGGTGAAGCTGGGCATTGATCGCTGCATAATTTTGCCTGTGCTCTAGAGTGGACTGGTGCATAAAGTGTGTCAGATTTGTCAGTTTTTGCTGAAAATATACCAATTTGGTAATAGTATTAGGAAAACTACCATTCTAAGACAAGATGGAGGTGTTGCCTCCGTCTGTCAGATATATTTTAAAGAAAGGTCGTCTCGGCATCTCAGAATCTTTACTTGGCTTTGCTTCGAGTCGAATCAAGTCAAATATCTAGATTTTAAATTTATTCATAATATTTACAAGTGAAATCGCAAGCTTTTTGTAAAGATGCCGTCCAATTTTCATGAATTTCACTAAATTCCGATTCATCGAAAATAAATCATTAATTCAATTAAAACGGGAAGGGAGTGGGCTTTTCGATCTTGTAACGGTCCACGAACAGGCCCATAGAACGCCGGGGTTGGGACAGGGGGCACTTTTTCTTAGTATAGTATTTTGCTATAGGAAATTGACATTTAGATGATGATCTTCCCGGCCCACTTTTTGTTGCAGTAAGGTCGAGCACTGACAAATTCCAGGATTTAAAAAAAAAGTACCAAAAAGTAAGAGAAAGGTTCAACACCCCCCTTCATCTTGCCCCCCCCCCCCCCCCCCATTCCCCAACACACACAGACATACGAAATAGGATTTTCGAATTCGGAGAAGTTAAGTGCATGGTTATTTTTATTTTTTTTTTTTTTTGCTTGTCAAATTTCTTTTTGGTTGGGATGTTGCCCCCTCTCCCCTTTCCAATTTTAAAACCGCTGCTACGGACCTAAAGAGTTAAGATTTTTTAAACAGGCCCGTAGGAAGCAATTTCAGTTGGGGAGGGGGGGCACAGCCATACATTTTCAGTTGAGGGGGCACTATCTACTACCAAAAATTTCTTGACAAGCAAAAAAAAAAAAAAAAAAAAAAAAAAAGAAGGTCATCAGCCGTTTTTATTGAGAGTGCCCAGGCATATAGTATCTATGTTTTGTATAGTAATCTATATATCGGCAAAATTATTGGGGGGGGGGGGGCACGCCCCCCCCCTCCGTTTCCTACGGCCATATTAAAGATACAGAATTTGAAAGTACATTTCAACTCAATTATACATGGAATTCCTGATTTACACACTTATACCGTCCAAATCTCACAACCTCTGTTTTATAGAATTTCGAATTCAGAATCTGATCAAGCAAGCTGAACACGTCCCGACATACGTCATATTACTTTTCCTATCTCCTATATCAGCACTGCGGTGTACCCAGCATTCGTTACATTCGACTGCTTTCTTGTCACGGGTACCTGCGTGAACATTCTAAAAACAGCGTGTCACTTTGTTTGATGGAGCGTGCTGAAGTTTCAAATTTCTCATCGACTGGATGTTTGATTTTTATGAAATGAATACTACTATGCATATGAAACAGAGAAACTAGCAGTGCACTGATAATACTGACCAGTTGCATTGAATGATTGTTTACAAGTACGGCATTTGTAAAGAGCAGCAACACCTGGTCAGTTAAAGCCCATTTGTGGCCTCTCTGTTCAGATGCAAAATAATATTCTACCAAAGTAGAGGCAGTCAGTATACGAAAATTAGAAAGGAAATTAATGAAATAAGCTGACCCTTGTAATTTTCTGTTTAAAATACCAGTATACATACTTCGAGATCTAAGATCAGAAGACTTGTTGTCAGACTGCTCTCCGCAGACGGATCTCTTTCTGTCTGAATTTCTTTGTCCTCCATGTTGTATCTATAAAGTTAGTGAACAGTTGTTTTGGTATACAATAATATAAATAAAAACTTTTTGAACAATCAATCAACGACTCCACGAAAGGAGACAAGGAAGTTGAGAATTTCGCCATGTGACATTGTTTATAAATTCCACTTGTTTCAATTGTTTTTTTAAGGACAACTTCCGCTTATTCTTCTATAATCCATTAAGTTTCCAGTGTAAGCAGATGTAAATTGGTTCAATCAATTGCAGAGTACGATAAATGACATTTTTCACAGTAGTTGTCTTTATTCAATCGGCTTAAATATGTTGGTAGATTTACCTTTTTTTAATCTCGGTCAACTATAACTTAGAAGTATGGACGCCTGTTCTGACATTCTTTTCGCATTTCGATCTTCGCTTAACCAAGAATTGAAGACGGAGCCAGTTTGGGCATCTTCTCATTAACTTCATTTTCGAGTTCTAACCAGAGAGAGCGGAGATAACGCGTACTGGAAGTTAATATAGATATCGTGTATAGTTTATGCTTGTATAAATGCACATACTCTTATTTTCATGAACTTCCAATGCCAGAGAGAGAGAGAGAGAGAGAGAGAGAGAGAGAGAGTATTGTCCTTCCTGATATACTCTATTTTAGCAAATAAGATATAAAAATAGTCATGTTTTATAATTTGCTTAAATAAAGTATATCAGGAAGGACAGTATTTAGTAGATTAATGACTAATTAATCTAAGGTACAATGAACAGGAAATTAGAAAGGGATTTTATATTAACTAATTAAAATATTTCGAACAAGATGTGTTTGTGAAACACTGATGCCCACGTATGGCAGCTTATGGCGAAGGTTAAAGTAAAGTTTCTCAAAAGCAAATCAAAATCCAGGCCAAAAGATGAAAAATGTTGGTGCCCAAAGAAAGGTCTTGTTTCGAGGAATATACCTGTGAAATTTGAAAGCCCTAGCTGCAACTGTTCAAAAGTTATGGCGAAGGTTAAAGTTTTTTAAAAGTAAGTAAAATGTCAAGGTCAAGGTCAAAGTTGTTGATATCCAAAGGAAGGTCTTGTCGCAAGGATTACATATGTGAAGTATGAAAGCCCTAGCATCAACTGTTTAAAAGTTATGGCGAAGGTTAAAGTTTTCAAAAGTAGGTCAAACTCCAATGTCAAGGTCAAAGGGTAAAAGTGGTTTGTATCCAAAGGAAGGCGATGTCACAAGAATTACATATGTGAAGTATGAAGCCCTAGCTCCAAGCATTCAAAAGTTATGGCCAAGGTTAAAGTTTTTCAAAAGTAGGTGAAACTCCTAGGTCAAGGTCAAAGAGGTTGATATCCAGAGGAAGGTCTTGTCATAAGGAATACACATGTGAAGTTTGAAACCCCAAGCACCAACTGTTCAGAAGTTATGGCCAAGGTTAAAGTCTCATAAAATTTTATTAAAGTGGGTCAAACTCCAAGGTCAAGGTCAAATGTGATGAGACCCAAAGGAAGATCTTGTCACAAGGAATAAACATATGAAATATGAAAGTCATAGCTCCAACCAATCAAAAGTTATGGGCAAGGTTAAAGTTGACAACAGACAGACAGTCAAACAGATAAACAGACAGACAGACAGACAGGACAAAAACAATATACCCCCGGGATCTTTCGATCTGGAGGCATAAAAACTATTGAATGGAACGCAATAAAAAGTAATAGGAGAAAGCCGTTGACGCATGGCCGTAGGAACGGGGGGGGGGGGGGGGAGGACACGGGGGGGGGGGTGCCCCCAATAATTTTGCCGATAAACAGATTACTATAGTAAACATAGATACTATATGCTTGTGCCCCCTCAATAAAAACGTATGATGACCCCCTTTTTTTTTTGCTTGTCAGGAAATTTTTGGTAGTGCGCCCTCAACTGTCAATTTTTTTTTTTGCTTGTCAGGAAATTTTTGGTAGTGCCCCCTCAACTCTCAACTGAAAAATGTATGGCTGTGCCCCCCAAATAGAAATTGCTTCCTACGGGCCTGTAACGAATGTTAGTAACAGGGTATTAATTATGCAATTAAAAAAACTTCAAAAATTTGCAAAGATTCTTCTTAATGATGTCTGAGTGAATAAGAGTTTTGTAAAAGGTAGTTCGTTACAGGCAAGGAAGTTCTGTTCTGAAATTATGAATAGAGTATGAATGTTTCACGACTGTAATTTCTGGTTCGTAAAGGAGATTCCGACAGATTTTATTTCATTTGATTAAAACAATTTGTTGTAGGAGGGATAGGGGAGGGGGGGGGGCATTGAAAAACTCAACTATATTTTACTGTTAGAGAATAAAATAAATGATTTTTTCCACTGTTAAGATAATAATTTTGATAGATTAAATCGTTCAATTCACATTTCCAGCTTTTGATTATTCAGCTTTTTAATAAAAAGTGTATACTAATCAAAAGATATTTTTTTAAGGAATAACATAGATGTACGAGCATACATATCTTTCACGTGATAATAAATCTTGTAAAAGAAATCTGTGTACTGGGGATTGGGGTTGCTCATACAAGGCGACTTTCAATGACACCAAAATTTTAAATAATATTCTTTTTACTCAAAATCTGTTTGGATAATCGGGCTAATATAGGACCCCAAATTATATGTTTGAACCATTGATCCATATAAGCTTTAGGGCAATGGGAAAACATAATAGTTTGTTAGACAGGGCGCCTACCTTTATCTTGTCCGTATTTTCGAATGTTCTCTCTCTCTCTCTCTCTCTCTCTCTCAGGGAAAAGGAGGAGTAGTGCCGCATACGAATTTTGTTTAAATATTTCCTATTATGTGCTTTCTTTATCATTCTTTAACAAGTACCGGCTACGTCTACAACACATGTAACAGGTTGGTACAATAGAAGTATATTAAATGCTGAACTTGTACTTTAAAAATTAAATAAGGACATAACTACTAACAAAGTGATAATTTTCCTACTGTCGAAACCGATAAAAAAAACTATCAAAGGAAATGCCAGATTTGCCAGTGAATTAATCAGTAAATTCAGAGAGAGAGAGAGAGAGAGAGAGAGAGAGAGAGAGAGCTATTAGCATGGGACTGCATCCCCCCCCCCCCAGTAGAAAAAAAAATCAATAACCGGTATGTTTATATTCATTTCAAAAAAGTTTAAATAAACTAATTTCAGAACGTTTTAACCAGCAGCCATGCTTATGAAAATTTCCTAAAATGTGTCTTAAGAAGTGTCTTAGGATATAACTTAGGGCATAAATTAGGACTATCCTAAGATACGTCTTAGGGTGTAAAACGAAAGTATCTTAGGAATATCTAAAGTTAAGATGTCATAAAGTCCATTCCAAGCAGTTTTCTCTCTTTTTTCTTTTTTAATTTTTGTAAAACAAATATTAAACATTGTTCCTACGTCCATATGCCATCATATACTGTAAACGTGGAAATTTTGACGACGTGCTAATTTTGACTATATTGACGATTTTTTCTTTTCTCGTCAAAATTTCCACTCGTCAAACTTCACTTCATATATATAGCGTCACAACAGACATTGACCGTTGTACAACTTCACCGCTTAATTTTTCTCGCCTTCCCCCACTAAAACTAGATCAAAGTTGCTGTTTAATTTTTTGGTAAATAGTTATGAAAACATATACACTGTAATTACAGTTTTAAAATCCATTGAGTATGTCATATACTATTATTACCCACGGTCAAAACATTCTAACTTTGCATAATTGTCACGCCGTGTTTGACCTACTTTGTCACCTCAGGCAATCTGTCCCGTATAATGAAAACAAAATACAAAAAGAGCAATTAATTCAATCAAATCTTATACACTGTAGATGTTTTTTACAAGCAAAATTAAATTTTATTGATGAGAACGCTTGTAAATGAGTTCCCGAGAAAACCCTTTGTGAACTTAATTTCAGGACCAATTTCGCATGGAACGGCTTAATTGTAGACGTTCTCAAGTCAACTAAGCCAATGTTTCCATCAAGTTTTTGGTCCTCTAGTTTCTGGCGAACTTACTCTGAGCACCAGTTTTGAAACTCGTTTTTTGAGGTGTTTTTGTATTCATTTTTGTTTTAATCTTGTGAAATCAAAGATACATAACTCTTGATTCAATATTTCGTTAAAATTAACACTCGTCAATTTTCGTAAAGAAAAAATCGTCAATTTTTCAACTCGTCAAAATAACCACGTTTACAGTACATAAGCGGACGTAAGGGTGGGTGGGTGGGTGAGTATTGGGTTCGGTCCCCTGGGATTTTTTGGAGTTATTAAAAGTATCAAGTAATTAACTAACCCTCTACAAAACATGGACCCCTGGTAAAAATGGCAAGGAAAGTCATATAAATGAACATGTTCTGTGTATTTGTAAAGACAAGGGACTTATCCCCGACCAGCACAAACACCCTCCCCAAACACACAAGAAAAGGTTTATCAGGATTGGAGAAGTTTTTTTCCCTTGATTGTCAAAAAAAAAAAAAAAAAATCTAAGTCTGAATTTTTTTGAGCTTGTTTGAAACAACAAAAGGATAATGACAACTTCGTTGATATGGCAAGCCCTTTTGCTATTTATTCGGCAAATAAAATATCTATGACAAGCCCTTTTACTATTTATTCGTAAAATAAACATTTTCATAAATTTTTTTTTTTCAATAAAAGAGATATCTCCTTAGCTTATTGAGATATCTCTTTAGCTTTTCGAGATTTCTCTTTAACTAAAAGAGATTTCCCTTTGACTAAGAGAGATCTATAACCTAGATAGACATCCCTTGAAACAAAAGAGATCTCACTTAAAACAAGAGATATCTTTTTTCGCAAGAGAGATATCTCTTTCACTTGGAGAGATATCTTTTTAAGCCAGAGAGATATCTCTCTAAGCGAGAGAGATGTCTCTTAAAGTAAGAGAGATATCTCTTTTTAAAAACGTTAAAAGAGTTCTAAGTTAGAAAGATATCTCTTTAGATTTTCAAAAAGAGATATCTTTCTAAGTTAAAGAGATATCCTTTTTTTAATGAAAGATGAATTTCTTTTCCAGTTATCCTTAAAATAGAATAATTATTTCTCCCTTATCTTATGAAAGCGAGGCTAGAGGCGACATAGCAGGAA